CAATGTGTACCCCCTACACAGTGCAAAGATTGTGTCTGTGAATGGCTAGGGAACTCCAAGTTCATCACATTTGATAGAAACAATGTGAACTTCGATGGAAATTGCACATACGTTCTATCCAGGGACATTATTGAAAATAAAAAGGGAAATGGAGGCCACACTTATCAGGTTTTGGTCTCAAATGGAATATGTGATGCTGGGACTTGTACAGAGGCTGTCATACTGCTTTACCAGGAACACGTTGTCAAAATTATGAACGACATATCAAACAAAGAATTCCAAGTGGAATTAGATGGTGTAAAATTGCACGAATTTCCCTTCAGCACATCCTGGTTGACTCTGGAACAGGCAACAGAGAAGCTACGACTGCTGATCCCTTCTATTCAGCTAGAGATCATTAGCTATCAGCCAAACTTTGCATTCAGTCTTACCGTTCCTTCGCACATCTTTGGAGGCGCCATAGAAGGCCTTTGTGGTAACTGCAATGGAGATCCTGAGGACGATCTGAAGCTCCAAGATGGAGAAGTATGATTATCATAATGTAATTAGTAAGGCACAACACTGATTTGTTGCTTTACAGGTTATAGATAACGTCCAATACTTTGGAACAAGCTGGTTGGTCACTGAGACTCCTACTGGTGTCACTATAGATACAAGTTCTTGTGCTTCTAATAACCAGAGTAAGTGTGTTTTGCCACCAGCAGATCTATATCCATGTAGAAAGCTGTTGGATGGAATAGAGTTTGGTCTCTGCCATAATCTGATCGATCCAACGCCATATTTGATGGCCTGCCAGGATAATTTGTGTTCTGGAGGTGGCTACTGTGACAGTTTTGAAGCATACTCGAGGAAATGCCAGCAAATGGGAGTTTGTCTGATCTGGAGGAGTAGTGACATGTGTTCCTACACTTGTCCTCCACGTGAGTATCTCTTCTCTATCATCTAAACACAATTTCCTTAAATCAAATTGGTATTCTCTTCTCAGATCTGATATACCAGCCTTGTGGTTCCACCTGCAAGCAGACCTGTGAAGCCATTAATGAAATTAGCGACGCTAGTTGCTCAAACAACTATCAAGAAGGCTGTTTCTGTCCTCAGAACTTTGTTCTTCATAATGATACTTGCATTCCAAAAGAGAAATGTCTGTTGTGCGACGAAGAAGGACACGTTGAAGGTGACACGTGGTTTCCAGATACCTGTACCCGGTGTACTTGTCATAAGAAAACCGTCAATTGTGAGAAAACTGAATGTCCAGCAGTGGACACCATCTGTGAAGAAAATATGACACCTGTAGTGGTCAATGGAACAGAGGAAGATTGCTGCATTAAATATCTTTGTATTCCAAAGACAGTGACCACTGTGGCACCCTTCTGTGCAGAGCCTCAGATACCAGAGTGTGGTTATGGACAAACCACAAAAGTATCCATAGGTCTAGATGGATGTAATAAATATATATGTGAATGTGTGCCACCATTTGAGTGTCCCATAATTACTGAAGTCACTCTAGAAGTGGAAGAGCTGCAACCTGGCTTCGTTCAAGTGACCAACACTTCTGGTTGTTGTCCAAGGTACATGACGATCTGTGATCCTCAGACTTGTCCCCCAGCTCTAGCTTGTCCAGAGTTCCACGAACTAAAGACTAATGTAGAATGGAACGCTTGCTGTGCCACTTACAAGTGTGTACCACCAAAGGATTTGTGTCTGTATAACGTTGAGTCCGAGAGCAAGATAGAAATGTCAGAGCAAGTGGTAGTTAAGAAGATTGGAGAGCAGTGGATGGATGGAAAGTGCACCTCCTGCATCTGTGAGCCTTCTGAGAACGGTCCAAAACCAAAATGCTTCACAACTGAGTGTTTGAGAGTTGTGGATCATCCAGACATATCTGATTTTATCGTGGAAGAGATTGTTGTTGAGAATAAATGTTGTCCCAGCTTTGAGAGGACAGCTTGCAAGGATGAAGAGAATGTATACAAGGTTGGTGAAGTCTGGCAACCGAATCCTGAGGACAGTTGCACTCTGATGGAGTGCCTCAAGGATCAGGATGGAATCCAGAAGCAGGTGAAGGTGCAAGAATGCAGCACAGTTTGTGATGTTGGGTTTCAGTACCAGCCTTCTAAGAATAAGAACATCAGTTGCTGTGGAAAATGCGTTCCAGTAGCCTGTGTAGTCAACAATGAAGTGAAAAATGTGGGAGAAGAATGGTTTTCTATTGATGTCTGCACCAAGTACTCTTGCAAATCCAGCAATGAAAGTGTTTATGTGGAATCCCTTGTAGAAAGGTGTCCAGAGATGGATCCTCAAGAGGAAGTCGAGTTTGAGATAGAAAAGCAATATATTCCAGGCCAGTGTTGTCCACAGTTGGTGAAAACTGGCTGTCGCCACAATGGCACTGTGCATAAACCAGGAGAGAAGTGGAAATCTTTAATTGATAACTGTATCACTGAAATTTGTGCATTAGAGGCTAACCTGACAAAGTACAAAGAGGTGGAAATTTGCAATACACAATGTGCTCTTGGCTGGACGTATGAAAAACAGGAAGGTGAATGTTGTGGAAAGTGCAGGCAGACTTATTGTGTGGTTGAAGAGATGTTGTATGAACCTGGTGCAACCTGGTCTTCCTCTGACAATTGCACTTCTTTTACTTGTTTGGACCAGAAGGAGCAACTAGCTATCAGTAGTAGCACTACAGTTTGTCCTGATGTTACAAATTGTCCAGCTACCTCAATTTACATGCACAACTGTTGCCAGATGTGCAATCTCACATCGGACAATCAGAAGGTTGACCTGTGTGCTGCTGATGTACTGGATGCACAGAACACCATTGGTATGTTCAATATGAAGCACCGAATATACGGTTTCTGCAGGAATTTGGAGCCAATCGAAGGAATCACAGAGTGTCGCGGCAAATGTGAATCTACCACTTACTTTGATATAGGTGAGAATTGAGACAGTATCACGACTTAAGGCCTGATTTAATAAAATTATTTTTTTTTTCAAATTCTAGATAACTGGAGACAAGCAGTGAATTGCCAGTGTTGCCAACCAACAGAGTACACAGGCCTCTTGGTTATGCTTACATGTGAAAATTCCAAAACCTTCACGAAACAAGTCGCTATACCAGCTTCTTGCACTTGCTCGGCCTGTGCATCCAATCAAGGCGGTTACAAAGGAAGAAAGGGTGGAGTTAAGGGTTGAACGGTTATAGAATAAGTATTAGAATAAATTTATAGGTTGGCGTACAAATGTAAGCTTGAATAGTACTCAGAATACAAAAATATTATTCGTTGATTTTATTGAATGATGCATATATATATGTATATATATACATATCATTTTAACAAGTTCGTATATCGGCTTTCTCATACTTCCAGAACTTCCATGCTAAGTACAATAAAACTATATAATTCAGTCTTCCTTCGACAAGACTTACAATAGCTTGAATTTTATTTTCTGTTGTTTGTACTTCAAGGGAAATCAATCATCTTGGAGCACGAAAAGGTTTTTCAGCCGATTATACACGGTAAATTAAAAATCACAGCTTCTCTCTCCGCTCATCGTACATCAAACTCAAGCCAATTCCTCGGTGCTGATTCCTCACTCTGACTCCGAGTGATTGGCTGACTGACTGACTGTCTGCCTAACTGACTGACTGACTGACTGACTGACTGACTGACTGACTGACTGACTGACTGACTGACTGACTGACTCACATCGATTTGACTATATTGAATATACAAAAATAGTATACTTATCAAAAAACGTTTTAGACTAGTTCTGAGAAAACCTGAGCCGTCGAATTGTAACTTTACGTTTACAATAATAGTACGGAGGAGCCAAGGAACGCTCGAGAGCCAAGAACATTATAAAAATTAAAAAGCTATGTTACAACTCATCCGCTTTTGTCGTCTAAATCGATTCTACACAGCATTACAATACGATAGAATATTTCTCTAGGCGAACAGAAAACATTGTTAATCCTCTCTTCTTACATATTACATATATAATTAACATTTTTTTATCTCTTCAACGAGTCATCATCATTCTTATTAACAACAATGCACTTTCTCTCTCTCTCTCTCTCTCTCTCTCTCTCTCTCTCTCTCTCTCTCTCTCTCTCTCTCTTTCTATATATATAGTATCTTTTTCTAAAGAGATATTGATCACTTTCTAAAAATATCGTTTTGAGAAAGCAAGATGGCAACTATTTCCTCTTCCTCAACCATACGAAAAGAAAAGTATATATTGGACGCGATAACGCACTCGAAAAAATACAAACGGTCGCAAAATCTACAGTAGTATATATAGAACGCGATTATTTAGTAATTTATATACACAATACCTATTTGCTATGCAGTTTACAGAACCATCTAGGTTTAATACGCCCGACACTATGAATGTTTCCATTTTCACATGTATCAAGCGCATCTTCTATTAACAAGTTCGTTGGTAAAGCTCCATAAAAAGAAAAAGAAAATGAAACTACATGTCATGATGGAGAACAATAGTAATAATACAGCTTTCTATTCTAATATTTCCGAACAGAAGCAAACATAACAGTCATCCACTCTCATGGTCTCGGAGTAATTCAACAATACATCTCTTGTATCGTCGCTGAAGACAATGATAATTAGTTAACAATGATACGATCCACTTAAGGGGCAATCTGTACCCTCCATTTTAGGGTTAACGACATCTTTTGGCTTCGATTCGGGGGAGCAGATTGCCTTAAAGCAGTCGTAATACTGCATCAAGTTGATACGCATCGTTTCCACCGTATTGAAACATGGAGGCGATAAAATCAGGTCATTCTATTAATTCAACTTAACACCTTAGCAATTTTTGTGTATTTATTTGTTTTTTAATTTCACAGAAACAACGTAGTTTTATTCAATTTAACATTTTCCATGTTTCAAGTATCCCAGAAACGACCTGAACGCGCCCCCATTACAGGAAATGGAATTTAACCTCTCGATCATTCCAGAAGCAGTAATGAGGCACCATATTAAGACGTAACCTCACTTTCGCCACTAAAAAGTGAACAGTACGTCGTACTCTGAGCATCATCAGCTTTGTTTTCATCTTCCCAATTCTTCTTGCGCGCGCGCATGTGTGTGAGTCGATGTAGGTACACACAGAGAGACAGACATATGTTACACCTGAAAGGAGGAAGGACTACTTTTTGCTACGCTTACAGAGTACACAGCGAGGCGCTGTGATACCTTTTGCTACCTTCCACACGTAAAACGGGCCTGGCTGGCAAGTTCCAGGCTCCAACATGGCGTCTGGACGGTGTTATTTATTTTGGATGCACCAGCTGCTTCAGAGGGCCCGTTACGAGCTATTGGCCCTTTAGTCAGGGGCCGTGAGCAAATCCTAGGCCAGCTCCCGTTTACCCTTCGTCTCTGTGTAGAACTGAGAACTGCTGGTCTTGTTTATACTCAACGAATGCTCATGAAAATGCCTGCTCAGCAGGTACACCACTGCCTCATATGTAGCCATTATAATGGCTGTGTTGGGGATCTGTCTGATCAGATGTGTATACAGGCCACGATACAAACCATGAAGTTTCTCTTCATTATAGACTGTCTTCACTGTCTGGAAGAAGGTTTGATATTTGGTACCTTCCTCTCTGAGCCTTGTTCTTGCCACCTCTGTAACAATTCGAACAATTTTTATTAGTGTATTTTGGTCTGAATTCAAATGGATGATAATACAGTGGAATTCATTTGGGTACTAGGAACTAACTAGCAGTATGAAGGAAATTTTCAGTTTTCCTCTGACAGTATAATATATTGCTGAGTGGTATAGTTAATGGAAATGACTTGTACTATTACACATACTGTTTACAAGAAATATAAGAAGGTAGTTTTTGCACAAACTGGTGTGTTGCTCTTGAACCAAAGCCAAACAGTTTTAGCAGATCATGAGCAATGCCACAAAAATAAACTGTAATTGAAGAAGGAAGTACAATCTTACCATGGGGGTAAGCGATGATGGAGGCGATAGTTTTGGAGATCGAGGCAGCTGCCATGAACTCTATGAAATCGCGCAGCGTTTTGCGATCGTTGCTGGTCCTGTATGACGCCAGGAAGGTCTTTACCGCCTCGTAGATCATGAAGTGTATCACAGTCTCGCTTATTCCTATGTAGGAGGCCATAATGCCCTTGTAGAATCCCAGGATACCCTGAAAAAACATCCAACGGAACTCTCAGTCGAATTTTTCACGTGGCATCCGAAGCTAGTAGCACCTCTTTTCCTGTGAGAGGAATGTAATACTGTCTTTGACAATGTTGAGAATTAGTCTTGGGTAACTTGAAACACCCACAGTGCCAACAATGAACCTATAACTCGAATGGTAATTTCTTATTTCTAAACTGAAACACAAGCCCGAGAATGTATTCCTGGTACCGTACAATCAATTCGTCGGCAGGCTGAGTGCTTCAAGTTGATGTGCATGCTAGGTGATTCTCGAGAAAATCAGAGGATCATCAACTTCAAGTGAATATAGTACAGCGCGTGTTTACCTCCAACAAAGAAATTATCTCCACAAGAGCAAATACGAGGATATTTAGTTAAGGCGATAAGATAGATATTAAATTTTGTCGATTGTTGATAAAACCGATAAGATTTGAGCCAATTATTGAGATCAGCCCCCCTTGGAGTGACTCCATTCAAACGTACTACTTTCTAATTTCTTATCAATTATCTCTTATATTCGCGAGCTTATGCTGATAGAGGAAGTTTCCGTCGGCTGAAACATTCACAACCATCGGAGACTCTACGCTCGACTGTACACTTTGACTCAGCGTTTAACCCCTGCATATGAGAAAATATTGCTTTTTCAATTTTAACAAGCGATTCTCTAATTTTCACGAGCAATATCGATGGCGAGGTGAGAATGAGACTAGAAAATTGGCCGAATAACGTGAATAAACGTAAGGAGGTTGTGGTTTGGAGCAACGTGGCCCATGAATGGAGTTCTTATCGTCGAAGTTTTGATAACCAATTGAGTTTATCACGGCATTCACACGCGTTTCGCGTGATCATCATGGGAGGACCGCAAAAGTTTTAATATATAGCTGCTTAGTAACTTATGAAACTAGCGTTCTACCACAGAAACTACCAACTACTCGTCACTTTATCGTGTTACACTACTTTGTGCAACCACACACGCTTCCCAAACGTTTTACATGAACAAACATCAATTTTTTTTTCAACTGTGCTCGTTTGACCAGTCTTCTAAGTACAAACTGGACAAATAGCTGAATTTTGTTAGGAATAAGCGTTCGTATCCAGTTCTAGATTTTTTCTGAAACGAAAAATTAACATAACAAAGGTGCCAGGAATGAGAAGGAGACACACGATGACATAATAAATCATCCAGCAATAGGTAACAACGTTGTTTTTGCCAGTATAGGATATTTTCGGCGCATTTTACTATTCGTAGATCGTAGGGACCAATTTAGAGCTAGCTAAGCTGCAATTGCGATACAAACGCGACACCTGAGGAACGTCAATCGAATCGGATTAAAACGGAACCTCCACTTGACATTTGGAATACAATTTTTCGGTACACAATGATGCATCAGGAATTCATTATTTCAGCTATTTTACGCTCACAAATGATTATTAGATTCTTTTCAACGTGTCGCAAGAGATTATGCTAGTTGTTATTTTGGTGCTTGGTCCCTATGCGTACAAGATCGTAAAAATATCCTTGGCTGAGGGACCAGAGCTTGTTCATCGTATATCGTAACACGTTGCAACATCTCTGCTGTTGACTTTCAGTCCACGAAAGTTCGAGGTTCAGCTCTTACCACGCCCTACGACCAGTTCTGTCAATATACCACATCAAAAAGGCCCTTCGTTTCAGAGAATCACCATTCTGAACTACTTTTCTATGTTTCAACATCCACAGCACGCTCACAGCTCTTTCTAAGCCGCAATTATCAGTCCAAAGGGCATACATTTTTACTCTAACAGTCGCAGAAGCAAAATTACACTCTCACATCCATTCTCTTTCCTAAAATCAGAGTGAGATTAGTACGTGTTCCCTCTGTAGTGACAGGTATGGTCAGATTGGAGCTCGTTACTCTCAGTAGAGGCTGGCTAACAGGGGAACCAAGTGTATGTAGCATTGGGATGAATCAGGGTGCAACTAAGTCGACCACAGATTGTGCACCAGACTTGTCTGGCTGTGGAGGTGTGTGTGATGGATTATAAAAAAAAAGGTCTTCCAAGCTCTTCGAACATAACTTGCTCCAAACGAGAACCCTCTTTATGGTTAATTAAATGACTGATGCAGTCTGGCTGGACCAGAGGAGGATTCTCTCGTACCGATTGGCGATATATCCTCCGCACGCACTCCATCGCGGTGATTCTGTTCGTTCGATGGTCCAGCTGCAGCCTGGTCTTCACGAACCAAATAGGATTTGTCAACGTGCATGCCACGAAACCTGAAAAATGAATGCACGTGTCTTTAATCCGATCGGTGCGTGGTGGTGGGCGGGCGACGGTTTCAGCCCTCCTCAGGGCAATTCATTTCGTCCCCCTAAATCATGCTTCAAGGAGAAAAGCCCAGTGTCTGTCCGTATGGGGATGGTCTCTGAAGAAACTGGGCTCATAACGTATACGAAGCTTTTGCCTAAGAAGATCATTTTTCTTAGAATATTGGCAAATTTCAAAATCATGAAGAACAAATCAATTTTGCAAAATCAAGCGATAATTTGATTTCAAGCAGCATTCGAATGGCAACGATGTCTGGAGACATTGAAAGAATCGTAAAAAATGACTATGACCACAGATAACTCGACCTTGCACGGCCAACGGTAATTCAATAGCGGTTGCGACACAGAGTAGACAGCAAATAACAGACAGGTTCGAGCCAAGCTGAATTTTTCCCCGCGAATCCAAATCTAACCAGCCGCTGGCAGAAATTCCGCTGATCGATCCTCCGTGATTCCTGCAAACATGCCAACTTCTAAATTTATCGCGCTTACAACACGAACAGTACCGCAGAATTGACGATAAGACAAGCAGAACGAACTTGCCTACGTTCCTTCGAAACAAACGCAAGGAAGAATATATATATGTATGTGTATGTATATATATATATATATATATATATACATATATATACACACACACACATATACCTTTTCTCTTTCCTTTTTTCTTTCTTAACCTAACTTCGGTGGAATTAGGAGCAAGGTTCGGGAAGCCTTATAGTGGATATGTCTCATATCAGAAAAGGCGATAGACTGCCTAGCGTGACCTTGTATGAAGCTTTACCGGAAAAACAAATAAATATTTTGGATCTGGTGGGCAACAAGAGGGCTATAATCTTCGGGGTGCCTGGAGCATACGTCCCTGGTTGTTCCAGGGTTCATCTGAGAGGATTCATTGAAAAGTAGTCTCTTTGTTTCTTTGTTCTCAGTTTCAGATTGAATTTTTAATATGTTTTAACGTGTACTTTGGTATTTCTTGTTCAACGAAATGATCCAGGTCAATGGACCTAAGGTTCCTGGGCTTTCAGGAGATAATCTGCGTGGCTGTAAATGATCCATTTGTGATGTCCGCTTGGGGAAACGCCAAGGGAGCGAGCGACAAGGTTACTTTTTGTTTTTTTTTTCTCTTCACGATCTCTCTGGCTTCGAATTTTCGAGCTGGAGCTAGGAAACTGCTTTCAACAGCATACTGTGTATGTGATCATAATTTAAAATATTAGATTGAGTAAAAAGTCCGTTCGTGTTTCTTCACAAGAATATAAAGTTTTGTTATTTTAATATCAGACTTACCTAATCAACGAGATATGTATCATTTTGTTGTATGACCTTTTCCCATCTGTTTGGTAACTTAAATATTCCTTTTTCATAAAATTATTGTGTTTTTTCATTAAAAAATTCAGATATATGCATTTTGCCTAGGACGTTGTTAGTGGGTTGTATCCTAGCTTAGACCAATGTTTCCTCCGTTTTATATTATCAAAAACAATCCATTTTTCATCACCAGTGATAAGTTATTTTAAAAAAGGGCGATCTTTGTACCGCTTTAACAATGAATCGCAAATCGAAATGCGGTCGAGCAAATTCTTTTCCATTAGTTCATGCGGGACCCAAACGTCGTACTTATTCGTCATTCCAAGCTTTTTCAAATGCAAGGAAACTAATTTTTGCGAAATATTTCATATGTTTGCAATCTCTCTAGTTGTGTACCTTAGATGTTCAATACAATTTACAATTTCATCATCATCGATCTTTTTTGGCCTGCCACTTCATTTTTTTTTCCACATTGAATCTTTCAATCCACTTTTGGATGGTACGTTTGTTAACAGCATCCTCACCATACATATCACAAATTTTTTTTCTTATTTCTTCAACATTTTTCTTCTTTCGAATATAAAAAAAGATTAAATGCCGAAAATGAATACTCTGTTCGCGAAAGAGAACTGCCTAATACTGAACGCAAAGCATCTTTAGACTGTACCTAATGGGATACGTTCATCAATTGCAGTCAAAATAAGCAAGAATATCAAATAACATTACCGAGAAGAGCGAGCCGCCGTCTACGCGAACAGATTTTTTACTCAACCTAATAGTTCGTGTGCTATGAAAGTTAGAAGCTATTCTTGAAGAGAGGAATTGAACCTTTGGCCAGGCAAACTGGTTCTGCCATTTTTCCTGGTCATAATATAGACTTAGTTCACGCTAGAACGGGTACCTGTCTAATTATATGTTCGCTTTCATGAAAATAATTCACAGTGAAAGTGAAATCAACATTTTTCTGATGTTTAAACTTAAGAGATGAGTGTAGAATGAACGATCAATTGGAATTCAGGTGAGAATGCTGGCAGATCCAATGGGATTGTACACCAGAGCCATTGGAATGGGTGTGGAAATACCAGAACTAGGAGGAACTAGGAGCAGAAGGTACTCTATGGCCACTGTGAACGGTGTTGTGAAAGAATTGTTCATAGATGCGCCTAACGTGAAACTCATGTGCCTGCAAACAGATGGTGTCCCTACTTATTGTACTTAATTAGCATTAATTACCATAGGAATAAACATGTTGTGCTACTTACATTCTAAGGGACTTTTAAATTTCAAACATTTTTCGAACTTTCTAAATTTCGAAAATTCAAATTTAAAAAAATTCAAATCTTGAGAAATCTGAAACTTTACAATTTCAAACGTTTTCCCAAATCAGTTTCTAATGCAATCTCCCCCATTCCCGATCTTTTCACATTCTTCTAACAAAATGCACAATACAATGCACACATAGAAACTCGTCTAAAGGGACATTCTTATTCAAGGTCACTGCAAACGAGCATCGTGGAATTAGCCACTTGCAAAAATAGCCGGTAAACGAGATTCAGTTAGCGCACAGTAGCGCATCGTGTGCGCACGCTTCAATGGAGAATCGCATACACACAAATGCATGCGCGCGCAATTGGAGGTTTCTCGTCGTATCGCAGAGAGTGCAACGTGAATCCATCGTAAACACGCGGTTCTCGTCTATTTTCGTCGCACGACGGTTACGAATCAAAACATGCGAGATTACGCACGCGCCAGTAGTATAGTACTCGCCACTTCCGTAAATTATTACCAATTTATCTTATCATGTAATAACACGCATTCACTCAGTAAAGAGAAAAGAAAAAAAAAAACACAAGGGAAAAGAAATACATTTGCTGCGCAGAAATTTGTCCTTACCTTTCCTTCACTTAGATACGCGACAAATTGTAAACAGCATATCTATATGTATCTACATATAGTTGGGGCCACGATATAGCGAGGTCGTAAATTAAACTCTCAAGAATCGGTACCGATTGATGTTGCGGCACTCAAGGCCGTGTGTTGCAGTCTGTTTGAGGGTTCCAACAATAAACGAATGGTAGCTTATGATTTGGTACTTCAAGTACAAAATGGTATTTCATTTACAAATGGAAAATATGTTAATATTAAGCTACACAATCTTTTTGCACTTTCTATCTGTATATAACACGAGTAGATAAACTAAGATGCTAAAGACATCAATAAGACCTTTACCTGTAACCGTACTTCCAAAACTTTTTCAAAGTACTTATCTGCTCGTATCTCTGTCAATTTTCGGGTCCCGGCAGCTAAAACATGTTTACTTTGACGTCTGACCGATTTTACGACCTCGCTATATCGTGGCCCCGACTATACATATTTTTCCCCCAACATTTAATATAACCTATTGTGCATATAATCCTTGAGTAACCATTAAGGAATACCACTATCATTTCTAGACCAGTTCCTCGAATTACATAAACGGTTCCCTTTTGTTTGGCATTCTTTCGAGCGTTAATAAGAGGATTCCTCGGTTGTATTGACTGTTTCTGTTTGACCTACCTCACTGGAGACAGCGAGGGAAACACTAGGACCGTCGTATATCGATTCCCGCCGAGTAATTCCTCCGTGACACGCTTTTCGAATATGTACTCTGGATGCTGGACTTGAAGATACGATGATATCGATGTTTGCAAACCGGGCGAAAAAAAGTGAGAAATAAAAAAAAAAGTTCAAAAAAATTTTCGTTCGTTGTAAAATGTGTTCTATAACAATTTCCAAAAAAAAGTATGCAATGAAAGCATGATAAAAAAAGAAGATACTCGTGCCTCAGGCGGGAGCCTGAGAAACTTCTCGTGCTGAAATTGTTAACACTCGTTTAACATCGATTAAGGTTAGGACATAATTCAGCGATGAAATATATAAATTTTCTCGGTTTAACAATGCTTTAATCACATTATATGATGTTTTAGTATTCTAGCAACCAGATATCCTGACAATTATCGGTACTTTAATATCGAACTGCGCCGTACCCCTAATACCCAGGTCGCGAGTATTTGCAACGCAAGTGCGGTACTAGGTTAATAGCGTTCTGAGATTCGAAGGACGAATGCAAAACGCTTGCGTAATCCGGATGCGTTGCAAGCGGCAGACTGGTGGTAAACAGTGCGTTGGCCCACGAACTGGGTCAATAGGACGGTGTACCTGTTTGCAAACTCGGGACACGACCAGTAAACAACCGCCAATTTCCACACAACTTGTTTACTCGTCATTCTCGTTTTCTTTTCGGCGCCAAAACTACCAATTGTGCACAACGGTAATGATATTCTAAGTTTTAACGGAGCAAATATTTCTTTCGTGATACGGACTTATGGAATGGAACATTGCGGGTCATCATCTGGGGTCAAATATTGAAATACTAGAATGATGTCAATCAACAAATTTTTGAATAATAGGAAAAACACTAAGGAAAGATCTCTAAATAATATCAGTAAAAAAAGGAAATTGCAAACTACACAAATAAATCGCTATAGATACTCTTAAAAAACGAAGATACAAGCCGATGGGCAAAATATTGATAATTCACTATTGTTTATGTTATTATAATTAAAACAATTGTTTATTGTTACTTTTTGTAACAGATGGTGAATAAAGAAGGATCGTACACAGAGTGCCCTCACTTCTAGTTAACGGAGATGAATACATCACAGTGCAAATATTGTATCTGCTGTAGATTCTTCGCAATTACTCCTTGTCAGATAATTTTCGTATCAACGTACTTTTCACGAACTTTACCGGCGAGCGCATAATCCAATTTGCATGATATACACAACATAAATACGGATTTGCATAATGTGTGCAAAATATATTAGCAGCCACGCGAGCTCGAACCTGTTTTCTCTTGCATATTTCCTAACAAAGCGGAAATCGAGGATCAAAGAAGTTCTGTATAAAGGGCCTTTGCGAGGACAATGACAGGCGAAAGTGGTGCTCCATTGAAGAGACAGCCACGGCTGCTATTTATAGCCGTGTGATTTCAACGACCCCTGCGGTCTCTGCCTGGCTATATACAGGCGAACGGAACAAACGAACACAGACCATAAACTTCTGGTTTTTCTCAATGGTTGTTTACACCACAACAAAGTGGTCGATCCATACTTGTGTAATTTTCACGGCTGAAAGGTGGACAATAGTGCCACGATATTCTTCAGAGATTAATTAGCATATTGATTACTCCTTACTTTTACACACTCTGTGTATATAATTAACCTTTCTTTATCTACTTGTTAATTAATCAAAACTTTCAAGGTCCACATGTCCATTAAAAAAAAAAAAAAAAACCTTGTACGTAACCTCTTTCTTTCTCTGTTTTCAGTTATCTTCAACTCTGTTTCTGGTTAGTCGTGTGGGAACACGTGTTTGCCTAAGCCCGTGACCAATAAATTTTCCGTACTGGAAACCTCTTTCGTCACGCACTATCGTGTCAGCTGAACCATGAGCCCAATAACAAGGGATTCAGGAAGATATCGAGTCTCTGGATGCTTCTTGATCCGTGTGATGCAAGTACAAACTAGCAGTAATTGACGTAGCAGCAAGAGCGTTTCAAGGCTGCTGTGAATTGGATGCAATTGCACGCAAGCGGAATGGATCTTGAGGATGAACTGAGAATGACAGATCGTTTATGACTGGAAAGTAAGATACAAGTTCTGAGAAAAGAAAAAGCACTTCAAATTTGTTGATTTCTCTAAATCACAAAATTCCATTTTTTATCATTCTTTTCGTTTTGTTCTATATTAATATTTCTCTAAACGTGAGAGCGGAAAAACGAAGAATTAGATCCTAATTATGAGGATCTTCAACTAAGGATATATGTATATTGAACGGGGAAAAAGGAGGTCAGAGGCATTTTCCAAGGACTTGTGTGCAGCTACGTGACCGGGCGCACGTTTTCGACTGGGTGGAAGGGAAGACCCTCGGAAAAAGGAGCCTACGAGCGATCAGTCACGCCATCCAAACTCTGCTCTGCATGACCTCGGCTTATCTAACCCGCCTGAACCACTTGTCACTACGCTGTCCCTCTTCCTTTGGCGTAACTATTAGCCTTTCACTGTGGTTCGTTAGCCACTGTGTATATGTTGCAGCACCCCTGCAGAGAAATGTGCTGCCTGCAACGATTGTCTAAGGGTTGAAGTTCAGCTTTCGCCGGATAAGCGGTATCTCTGCTCATTAACCAGACCACAGTCACACAAATCAACTGTAATTACACTGTGCAGTCTCTCTACTTACACTAAACCATATACTATACTGCATCACGCGGTATAATGTTCATGATACTCTCATATCGAATAGTATTTCTCATTGAGGCAACTGACTTTTCATTACGCAATCCTCTGTAAGCCAGATTGATAATAAGGAATCCTTACGGAAATGAAGGAAAACATTCTATATATAGAATTGTATGAGAAGTGCATATGGACGAAATGAATTATCAAAGACGCAGAACGAAATGTATTGGGTTATCACATTAGGAAAGATCAGAAGTGTTGAAGATTAGGAACCAGTTATTTGCGGCCATTCCATTCAGCTAGATAATAGCGAATGACGCGCGTCTTGACCCCACTGAGCCTATTATCTCTTGGCCGCCTTGATTGCTCCGAAGGAAAAAGGCTGATAACGCGATTTTAACGTATTGTGCCTTGAGCTCGGCCGATGCCTTGGCTAGATCTCCGCTCGTGATCTATTTCTGTGTTCTCGGCTATTCGGCCACTTTCTACATAGAAACACGCAGTCTCCATGCTTCATTCTCTCTGTTTTGTTTTCATTACAGAGAAGCTTCCTTGCCAGTTCACAAGGGATCACTCAACAATGCCAGAAATAACAAAATTATTAGATCTGAATATCTAACGAAGAGGCAGAAACCAACCAGTTCGAATTGAATAAAACTCTCTTCGCTACATACCACCTTTCTCATAATTATTTCCATGCAACACACACTCCACTACCTTCAGAGACATTTCTTAATAACTCTTTCTATTTCTCCACTCAAGCACACCATTGTGAGCACTGTCTGAAATTACAGTTATGTTACAATCAGGCTGCACCAGTGCAGGGTTTACAAGGTGGGGAGAGGGATTGGGGCGGGTTGATCGATAAGGGAGGAAGTAGAACGATGAACTTACCGGCGCAGAACGCGGAGTACATGTGAACGAATGCAGAGTCCGGTGTGAGGATCGTATTGAATGCGATTTTGCTTTTCGAGTAGGTGCAGAAATAGATTGCTCTTGACGGGGCGACTCCTACGAGGTTTGGGCCCAGGCCTTTGAACAGGGCACGGATTCCCTCGTTTTGGACGATGTACCTGATGCACTGGTATACACCAGGTGCGGAGTGACTATGGGGAGAGCCCCCAGGCGGCGTGGACGAACCGAAATGGGACAAGGCGACCAGAGCATGCCTGTGACATACGTATAACGAACGTTATTTCATTATTGTAAAAGAAACTTACTATTCCTGTTAATCTCTTCAAGGACACTGACACTAAATATGTATGTTTAGTTTTTTTTTTTTTAATTTCAATATTTGTGATAGAAAAAATATTTAAAAAAAAGAGCGAACAATTATTCGTTACATAACCTCACAATAAGAAAAGTAGTTTTTTGAAACAAATAAAATATAACTACATAAAAAATTAGATCATTTTTTTCATGTCAAAAAATCGATTTTTTTTTTTTCATAAAAAATTCATAAAAATAACGAAGTTACAAACACACTTATGGAGATGCGTCAGGAGAAAAACTTTAAACGCATGTTTTGCAAATTGACACGCAGGATAATTCAAAATGTAATGGACCGATCATCTTTGACAATCAATATTTTATCATTATTTACAGTGTTTTTATAAACAATATAAAACCGATTTCTTTAGTAGAAAAATTGACTTTTTCTTCGAAACTTTTAAGTTTCTGTTTCTTCTTATTACAAGTCAGTTCAATTCCAACATGAGCTATCAAAGAATAATACTTGAAATTTATTTCTAAATTACTTTGACAGGTGCTAGGCTGCTCCTTTCCATAAGAAAAGAAGTTATTACGATATCTTTATTAATTTAGCAAAAAGGAAAAATAAAATAAAATGTTGCAGATCGCTAATTTTTCGAGCTGTCAAACTGGACTCCCCTCTTAAAGCGTGTCATAGTCAAAGGGTTAATATTAAAAAAAAACCCTAAATATTACATTTTCAAGTTTTTTATATTCTTAAGATAAAGCAAATTAAGAAAAGAAATAAATTCATAAATATTAAATATTTTTCTTTTCAAAAGAAATCTTTGGCGTCTTCTAAAGTTTTACTACAGAAGAGTGCTGCAGTTGCTGATAGATCGTATTAAAAAATGTTAAAAAAGTATTCTAAATGTAAAATTTCGATATCTTGCTTTCTGAGGGGTTTCTTGAATCCGACAGCGCGTAGCAGGGTTTATTTTCAGCGAGGAATGTCGTGAATGCGAGAATTAGTCTCGAACGTGCCCAGAAAATACATCGAACACCTCGTAAAATTGGTCTCTGTGTAATTTGTTCAAATTTTTTAAGGCTACAGTTACAGATACAAAAACGAATTCGGTTTATTTTCGCAATGGCAATAAATGTTTTCAGTGATTGATTAAAATGGCGATAAGTTGGTTGTTTTTCGATTTCGCGCGCTTTTTAATCGAGTTAGGTTAAGATCCCGTTTCTAATAGAAAATCTGTATTGATTTTTTCAATTAATAAAAAGAAGTCTTATCGATTGTTTATAATAATATACTTGTGTGTTTTTAGTAGAAAATTACCTTGTGTAGCCTCCAGTGCACAACCTCCGCCTCTGTTCCGGTTTCGGAAAGCTCTTGCACGTGACATGACCTGAAGTGAACTCCTTGTTCATTGGAGGCGGATAGAAACCAGAAGAAGAGGACTGAAGACGTGTTTTAACCACCTCCAGGGGACATGTGACTAGGCCCCCGGCCCCCCCAGCCACTCTGCAAAAAACAATAACAGCATAAATATTAACAAATGATTGACAATTGACTTTTCACTTTGGAACTATCTATTTTGAATTTTATTTAAGCATAGGATTCATATTTTTAAAAAATTAATTGAAATACGATTATAATCAGTTTTCCACTTTTCGATCAATTCTCAACCAAAAATGATCGATCTACTTTTGAAGTTGAAAGAACGCAATAATCGATTTATGTCGATAATCGATATCTGAACGTTTTAAACCAAAAATAATACTTTTGATACGACGCAAAATAAACACAGACCCATTCAAGGGAAAAAATTACGTATTTCGTTTCCTCTCTTATTTAAATGATACAAAAATATTAAATTAATTTATAACTGCTAACTGTGTGCATTAATTATCGGTGGAGTTTGTCACCCAAGTGTTAATATACCTGCAAACTGATAATTCTCATACTACGCATAAAACGGGACCTCGTGTATCTTTCCATAGTACGAAAATTCTCGTAAGGAGTTAGCTAAGTTGCTTTGCTTCTAAAATTAATAATCCCATGGATTTGAATCTTGTTAGTCATGAAAATTTGACAATTACCGTGGTTCATGCAATTAAACACATTCTAGATCATAATAAATACCTGTTTTTTTTCTTTTTACGCAATTCTATAGCGATGGTCTAATTACACCGCATATATTACTCCAAAAAATAGACATTCTATACAAAAAGTAATTTACGTTAAAAAAATTATTAAAAAATTCCGATTTTTTTGTTGTAATTTTTAGAGTTGTCTTTTTCATGAACAATCAAACGTGGTTTCGATAAAATCTAATCGATGCCTTACCACCGCAAGCGCGGCGAAAGAGCATATGTACATAGATTCGTCGTGAAAACATGCATCTTTCTTACGAAGTCGGTTAACCCATCTGTATACGTACACATACACATAATATTAATATCAGATAAAAGTACCGACGATGTATATCGACAATCCTCGGAACGAAGCACTCGTGAAAAAATTCAACCGAAAATACGCCTATTTCTAAACTGGGACGATCAATTACGCATATGCAACATATCCACGAGAGGCGGTGAGGATGACGTAACAGCGCGAGCCGGCGACAATGTCGCAGCACTCAAGGCTGTAAAATAACACCTCATGTGTTCTGGATCGTTTTCGTGCGAGAATTCCATCTTAAAGTATGTTTGTACGATACAACGTCTCATGGGTTATGGTCACTGCGCAAAATTGCGTGTCTGCGATTCGATGGAGACAGCCGGCGCCAATGTACGACGCACATTTCGCTGCTCAATCTTTGTTGGCAAGCACGCAATTGTGATTCATCGCGGAACTTTCGGTAAAAAAAAAAGAGGAAATGTAAAACCCACCCTCCGGCGAATAGGTGTATCGCGGTATCGCGATTCCACATCCTTCAATTAGATCCAATCACTCAGAGCATGTACCTCCAGGAATAATCGAACTAACGAAACACTGAATAATATTCACACGCGCAAATTTTAACGAGAACCGCGGTCAACGAACGAAAATTGTGTCTTGAAAGTATTGTTCGATTCCTATGCAACCGATCAAAGTGAAAAGAGCGCGAATAACAACACCGTCACGATTGAGAACTCGAAAACAACTGATCGCATTGACCGTAGCAAGTGCACTGTAGACTATCTATACACTAGAGGGGATATCGGTAGTTAAAATGACGAAAAATTTAAAGGCCTGTTTACATCAAAACGACAGAAGGGGGGAAATTTAAAAAGAAAATTTATTTTCTAAGTATGTACAACTTACTCACATATCATAAGTTGATCAGACCTATTTTGCAATTTCTAGTACTCTATAATTTTCTATAGTTAGATATAACTGTATTGACTCTAAGTTTACTGAGTACGGTGTTCCCTCGCACAACGCGGTTTAGATTATACGCGAATTGTTTTCTTGAAAGATTTCGAATCAATTTACATATTTAGCATACTTTTTCAATTTTTTTTATAGTGGTGAATAAGAGAAATGAGAAAGAGCGAATGCGAATTCGCTCGTGTGAATTAATTCCTCACAAATTACCGCTGCATACAGGAAGCAGTTGTACCAAATTCAAATACATAATAAACAACAGTCGAACTTGAGAGAACGAATATAAATATATTTCACATTTTTGTAAAGGGTATCTATCTACGTAGACGGTCGGCGTCCTTAATCTCTGCATCGTTCGAGGGAGCACTGTGTATTGATATTTTTCTCGTTCTATCGATGAATAGGTCAGATTTTTTCTGTTCGATGATGGTTACGTACATAGCGCTTAAGAATCTCTTCAAAGTGCATTGTTTGTTTTGCAGATGAAAGGCGTAAGTTAAAAATGGTATTTTCCTTAAACTTCGCCCACTCAGACCGGCACTCATCCTACTGAGATTCTTTAATTTTGAATAAATGTTCTCCAGTTCAGAGGTCTTTTCCTCTTCCACGAGTTTTGTCTAAAATAAGGAAAATAAGAATAATACATTCTGTAAATTATAATTTAAAAAATGTGCCCATTTACCCTCATCAATTCTGTAAGACATGAATGATAAATATGATATATAGCTTCATTACTGGGCTGGCCAATGTACTGCTTTATGTCTGCTCTATCAATAAATGCTAAGTCAATGGCTTCTGATAAGTTACTGGTTGTCAGGATTAAAACGTTTGGGTATTGTTTTATTTGGTCCAGTTGCGTTAACAGGGCGTTGACTACTCTTATAGAATCAGTTGGCTCGATTCCGTTGCTACACGCCTTTCGAGCATGAGCTAAGGTCTCTACTTCGTCGATCAAAATGCAGACTAAGGCTTGTGGATTTTCAAGAAGATGTCTTAGTTCACTAAACAATTGCATAACTAGTTTACCACTCTGAAAATAATAATTGCAATTCAATCTCTGTTTTTTACTGTCGATTAAAATAAATTTTTTAATATCAACACCTCTGAGAACCACTTTGAGAATAGACTATGGCTGTTTATTTCAACTAATTCACCATGTGTAAATCTGTTACCCAGTACAATGGTCATCTTTTGAGCAAGGGCTTTGCACAAACTAGTTTTTCCACTGCCTGGTGGCCCATGCAATAGTACCACTTTATTGCAATTGATAATATTACTGTTAACTTTATGCTCAGAGAATATCATTGCTGTTTCTACAAAATTCAGTAGCTAAAAAGAAAATAGAAACTAAAATGATGCTGGAAGAGATAAAATATATTTAACTAACATTTTCCTTCACACCAGGTTCAAAGTAGAGATTTTCCCATAAGTAATGGAATTCTTTTGCAGGCAATATCCAATGAAAGGATATTGGGAGATCGCTTCCACCATTTTCCATTGTCTCTGTGGCTGCAGATTCTGCAGTTAATTTGTACACATAAACAGTAGGTTCTTGTATTTCTATACATTGCTGTCCTTTCTGCAACAACAATCTTTTTTATTAAGTTCATAACTTGAATTCATATTAATTTATTTTACCTTTCCACGAGTGTAACATATGAATGACTCAACATGATCCTTCAACACCTGATTTAACAGATCCTTTCCATACATAACGGTATCCAATGGTATACCTTTTAACACATTTAATTCAGTGATTACTAAGTTCTTTATTTCTTCTGTCGATAGCATGCTAAAAATTAAAAAAGCATGACATACAGCAATTCTAATATCGGAAAACCAATCTTTAGTTAGCAAAAATAATACCTGTGCATATTTTGACAGACTTCTACGATTGAAGCTTGCGCTTCTTCCATTTTATTGCAATTAATTGTAACTTAGAAGTTGGTAAAAGTTTCGAAAATCGGTTCGAAATCTTCCTTATATTAATATGACACAAAGAACAATTCTTCGATACGTTGGAATTTGAAATTTAGTGGACTATCGAAAAGAGAAAGACAGCAATATGAAAATGAGAAAGAAAGAGAAGGAGACATCATTTTAAAGGCTGATTTGCAACGAATAAATAGAAGTCACTGTATTTTCAGTGGCATTGGATCACGATCTATATTTTAATTGATCCATGGTGTACTATCGGACGCTATAGCGAATCGTACTTTTATAAATCGTCAACGGTCAAACATTTTTACGGTGAACGGTTTGAAACACATGGAATTGAAATGTAGCGGATGACGATCGGGCTGGTGATCATTTATTAATTAACAATCGAGTTGGTTCGCCGTCAGTTAATTATTAAACGGTAATTGTTGAGTAGATTTTTAATGAAATGAACAAAGCAACGGACGATGACGAGCGTAGGAGACGCTCTTTGGAGGCGGGCAGGGAAATGGTACGTCCTTCATTTATCAATAATTACCTTTCTCTGTCATTCTTTACGGCTCGTTTAATTAATTGTGGATTAAGTTTAATTTTATTTAGAACAAAGAATTACTGGACGGTTCATCTAATTAAAGTGGTTATTGTATGGCATAAAAGTTACGTAGTTTTAATGGAGACACACTGCTATGACTTTTTTTTTTAACAGGGTATTGAATTTTGAAGGTCACTTTAAGTTCTTTTTTAATTGAACGCCCTGTATTTTTAGAATTATAGAAATATTTGATGTGATCAATGTGAATCACCCTGTATAAACTTTAAGCATGAATAGAGCATATGTGAAAATTTAAATGGTTTTAGCTGGAAAAGTACAAGGCAGAGAGAGCTGGTAAGGTTCAAGGCACAAGTCATAGACACACAGATGAACTATCTGATGAAGAATCCTTTCACAATGACAAATCTATGGAACGCAGGGGCTCTTATGTAAGAATTCCAAGTTCATTTATATCCTTATGTGTCTTTTATCACAAATTCTGTCAATTATAGACACATGAGGGAGCTTCATCAAGGGATATGACACAGAGTAGTGTTAGTATGAGTGAAGGAGAAGCAGATGGGGACTTGGAAGGACTGGCTGGAAGAGTGGCTCAGCTGGAAGAGCTATTACAAGGAAAGGAAGCCATAGTGGAAGCTTTGAATGCCGAAATAGATCATTTGAGAGCTGAGGCCTCATCTCCAAATTCTTCTCAAAGTCATAACAGCAGTATACATAGCAGAGATGTTATATCTTTGTATCATATGAAGGTATGTGATTTTTGTGGACACAGTGTGTGCAGAGAGTGATATGTTATGTTTTGTTAAACAGTTGCAAGATTTTGAAAAAGCAGTGAATCAGAGAGATAACCTGATAGAGGATCTTACGTGGTCCTTACAGCATGCTCTGTCTGTGAGAGATAATCTTGCTAGTCAATTAAATTCTTTGAATGCTATGGAGATCCCCTGTAAAGATAGTGCTACTGCTATGAATAATAAAAGTTTGCAAGAAAAGGTAGGTTTAACTATTTTAAATAATTTAATTATTTGTTTAACTATTTTTACACAAGGACTTCTTTTTTTTAGATTGATACTTTAGAAAAAACATTGAGTGACCAAAAGTCGATGATACAAAAATTGAACAGTCAGCTGGTCCAAATTCAGGAACATGTACAGACACTGGAGATGGAGAAAGAAACGCGGAACGCCGAGATCAACGATTACAAATTACAAATTAATAATTTGAACGAACAGATTCGTGTAGGCGCAGCTGATAGAAATTTAAATATTGCGGAGACTTTGGAGCAACAGAAACAGTACGAGGCACGTGTGGATAAGATAAAGCAAGACATGCAACACATTTTGAAGAAGTTTACAGCTGAAACGAACACAAATACAGTCCGCCACCAACAGGAACTGAAAGACTTGTCTGCAAAACATGAAATAGAAGTGATGAACATCCAACAGAAGTATGAAGAACATCTGAAGCAACTGAAGGAAGAGAATAAGTCACTGGCTGATCGTCTGAACAGAGAACTACCAGATCTGGAGACCAGACATGCTAGAGAATTGTCTATATTCCAAACACAGTTGTCTCATTACAAGAAAACCGTGGAGGCTTTAAAATTGGAGCTGATGAATCGTTCTGAGTCTCAGCAAACCGCTCAAGCTGAATTAAACGAGTACAAATCAAAGTTGAACGAGATGAAAGTACAGTCGGAGAAGGTTAGACACATACAGGACTTGGACCATCAGAAGGAAAAGGAGATGCTAGGTGAACAGATCAAATTGCACAAGTTGCAACTGGAAGACATGACTTCAAAGTACCTTGCTGTAACTGCGGTTCTGGAATCGAAGGAAAGCATCGAACGTTCCTTGGAACAGGCCCTGACCAGCGCTGCAACTTTGAAAGATGAGAATGAAAGTCTAAAGTTTAAGCTCGACGATTTGTCTTCTAGGTATTCTGCAGCGCAGTCTTTGATTGAGAATAGTCAGTCCCATGAGAGAACTATGAGCAACAGAATCTACGATCTGGAGAAATCCTTGTCCAGACTGAGTGGTATAAACGTGAGCACTTTGAGCGAGTTCAATGAGACCACGTATCAGACTCTGGACGAGGTTGCGATTCAGTATCAGTTTACGAAGCAGAAACTCGAAGAGAAGTCAGAATTAGAGAAGCTTCTGGTTCATAAGATTGAAGGCCTTGAGGATGATGTTCGTAAGTCGAAAGAGGAGCTGGAGCAGGCTAATCTCACTAAGAAGTCTTACGAGAAGCAATTGAAGGACATGAAAAATATGTGCGACAAGTATAAGTCCGAGATAAATTTGTTGAAGAAAGACGACGTGGATGGTCAGAACTTTTCGCAAATGGATGAAGTGCAGAGAATGTCTAGTCAGAGTAAGAAAGATACTGTCAGTGATTTACTATGTAAAACTGAAGAGGATCAACAGGAAATTAAAAAGCTCAAAATGACTCTTGATCAAAAGGAAATAGAGCTCTTTGAGTCTGTAACACGGATGTACGAACTGACAGAGAAGCTGAAGAAGTCTGAGGACGAATGCGAACAATTGAAGAATGGGCTTGCTACAGCATGGGCCCAGTGTGCAGAGGTGGAAGAGAAGTTGAATCAAACGTTAGCTTTAAGCGACAGTAAGCTGGACATTTCTTTGCCATCATCCAGCTATAACAGTGCCTTAATCAAGCAATTTAAATCTGGTAGGGTTGCAAACAATTCCATGAATACAACAGATGATCAGAGCACAGATACCAATAGGATTTTCTATGAAAAAAATGAGGAACTGAATATCAGCAATAGAGCAGCCTCTTTACAAGCAAAATTAACGTCTGTACTGGATGAGAAGGAGAGATTATTGAAGGAACTGGATCGTTTAATGAAACAGCAGGCTGACTATGAAGAGATCAGAAACAAATTGAAGCATTACACCATACTTTCAGAGAATCTTGTAGCAGAGAAGGAACATACTATGGAGGAGAATAGAGTTTTGAAGGTGAGACTGGAAGACATGCATTCTCTGAATGAATCTGTGAATCAACTGAGAGCAGAAAAGGAATCCTTGCGTAAAGAGATTGAAACACTAGTCTGTGTTCATGACGAGCAGATAAGTGCCATAAAGGCTGAGACTGTGTCAGAAATAAGAAAGGTTCAGTCTCTGATGTTGGGAGTAAAAGATGGTACCAGAGAGCTGAATGATCTCAAAACAGAGTTAGAGATGCGACACGCGAAGGAAATGGAAGAGTTGCGTATATACTTTGAGCAGAAGTGTCTGCAGATGGAGAAACAATATTCTGAGGAAATATTCAGCCAACAATCGAAGAAAATGTCTGACAATGACAGTGAAATAGCTGATTTGACCGAAGGGTTGTATTTTGGAGGTGCTGGGGACTGTTTAAATGTTTCAAATATCTCTGAACACAATTCAAGACTTGCTTCCCCAATGGGGGATGATCAGTCAAAGCATACCAGTCACAACTTTAATAGTCATAGCAAATCTGAGTTAGAGTATGACATGAATATCAAAGTTTTGCAACAGGAACTGCAGAATAAGATAATAGAGGTGCAGGAGGTAAAATTGCACTATGAGAAAGCACTGGAGGAACAGAAGAACATGTATGAAAGGGAATTGTATAGTAACAAGGCGAAAGAGAGGCGAGAATTATTGAGAAACGCTGTAAATCAGGTAAGTAAAATGGTTAAATTGCACTTTTTATTTGTGTAACTAATGCACTTCGTTTACTTTTTTTTTTTTGTGTTAACCCTTGAAAATTTTTTGTGCGACGAAGCTGCTTTCTTTTCTGTAGGATTACACGTGTTACATGCTGATAAAAATTACATTCTTTTCGTTTCACATTTCGCTGTATACGTTAGATTGCACTTTAAACTTAGAATGTTGTATTTTAATTTTGTTACATTTGGAATAGATTCCATACATTTGTGATGCAAAGTGCATGGTATTTTATTACTCTGTTTGAATGTAGTCTATGTGCTGTCTATTTTTTCTTTAATTTTTGTTTAAAAGATCATAGAAGAAAGATACATTGTTATCCTTTGGTGTCTATTAGAATAGCAACCAATTAGGAAAATTCATAGATGATAAATATGCCCCAAACTAAATAGAATCGTGACGAACAATTCCTTTCGTAAATAACATGCTATTGTGTGAACATATATGTGTGCATGCAGCATTGTCAAACAGAATGGGATGCGGGTGCGTTGGAAAACGGTGAATTAACGCAGCTGCGAGCGACCTACAACCATCAGTTGGAGGAGCAGATCGCGCTAGCTAAGTTGGATATTGTCAATGCGCTTCAAGAACAGATCCAGGTAGCTTTCGACTCAGTTGTACCAGTTTATGGCGCATTACCTTGCAGAAATCCAAAGAAACTAGGCATTTAGAACATTCTCCTAGTTGTCTGTTCACAAACATCCAAAAAAAATTTATTTTCTTATTCGATAAATTTTATTTTCTCATTCTCAAGGCACTTTTGACCGTTGAGTCGGACACAGACGAAAATTGGCCTCCAGAATTGTTGGAACTGAGGGACAAACTCACTAGTAATGCTAAAAGGGAGATGCAGCTACTTAAAGAGACGCATGCTGCTGAGGTGCAACGTTTGAAAGAGACTGTGGCTAGAATGATCGATCGTCATCAAGAGGAAATGAGCAAAATCAAGTCTGAGAACAATCAGAGCTACGGTGGGAGACGGGATTCTGACAGAAGCATCCTTGATGAAAGGTACTTACGTCTTAAGAGGATTAAAAATCGTCGTACTTATTAAATCCTGTTTTTTCAAATAGAAATAGCTTGGTCAGAACATGTGGTACTCTCAAGACACTGATTGAAGAACTGATCAAATACTTTGTCATCTGTGAAGAGGAGGTAAATAATACACTTATCACTGAAGTTCTCAAGAGACAGTTGTCTGATAGTCTGAAAAGTAAGAAAACAGTGCAAACTGATGAAAGTGATCAGAGCTCAAGGATCCAGAGAGTTCACTTCGCTCCCAAGGCAACTGAGATAGTTTCTATATTAAATAGTAAACCTGAGACTTTGCCAACCATTCTGGAAGAGGATAGCAGCATAACAGAGAGGCTGAAACAAGAATTAAATAGCTGTGTACGACGTTTGAAGTATGAAAGCGCTGAAATCCTTGGCACCTCCTTGTCCACAATATCTACTAGTGAATGTAGACGTAGTTCATCTTCAAAAGACGTCTGGTTGAACAAACTGAACGAGGAGCTGAATTTGAAGCTGCGTCACGCAGAAGCTCTAATCATGGGCTACCAAGAAGAGGCCGATCAGTTAAAAGTGACCATTATGGATCTCCAGAGGAAGCTGATTAGTGCAGAGAGCAAAAAAGAGACCATCACTGAAGGCTATGGAGAAAATGACGATATCAGCACTGATATTACTCCACAAGACTTCTCACAATTGCAAGAGAGAGGTATGTATGAAAGGTACAAGCTCTTTAATGAATATCTTTTTGCAATCATGTTTTCAATTATTCTAGCGAGACTTGTGCTATCGAACGGAGGAGGAGACTGCACGGAGTTGCTTCAATTGATAGAAGAATTGTGTAAACAGAGTGATAAACTGATGGAAGAGTCGAAGAGGGAGAAAGAGGACCTGCAGAAGCAGGTAATATAGAAGTTCCCCTTTCAAATAATGCACTGGATTGCATGTATTTTTATTATATAGAATTGGTATGCTACATACGAGACAGTTGTGGTGCATTGCATATTGAAGATGAGTTCTGTATTATAGTAGTTCATTATTCTAGCGTTTTATCTGTATTTACGAGCTTAGTTATTTGTATATTGCACAAAATGTTTTGTTTTTAAATTCATATTCTCATTATTCGTGCATCGATAATTCAATTATCACCTAGAAATTATTTCAGTCTATAGGCAAATTTTTGATCTTGCGGTCGAATGAAAGTTTTATTGAAAAAGAATCGAAAAATAACAAAATACAAGAAGGTAAAATCGTACGGCTCTGTGGTGCAGTTTTAAAAGAATTGATTGGCGTTCTGTTATCTTGCCAGCAGGTGCCTTTAGAACCTACTCCTACCCCATACATTCACAAGGTTTGCTGCCGAAAGGTAAATTATAGAACTACTAATACTATTTATAAAAAAAAAACGCTGCTCCGTAAGTTAACTTTAACACCAAGTGGCGCTCTTCAAGAATCTGTTAAGTCTCATGCCGTCGATAAGAGTAACAGTAACCGTTCCCAATTATTAATCACAGCATGTGTCATGTTAATGGTGCATCTTTCCTCATCGTTTTTTTTTTTCGCATGCATGCAAATAATACTGCGAATTAACTCTTCCCTGTCCTTGCAGTTTGCATTATTAACCATCTGATAACACGAAGTTTAGTAAGACTGGAAAGAGTTAATGCAAATTTTTCAGATTTGTTGTTTTGTGTGAAAATCATTTTCTTTTCTCGAACTATAGAGGCATGTAGCTGTTTGCAGTTTTCATTTTTCTTGTGTGTTCTTTCATTTACTATCTGACTGAGTGATTAAAATTTTTAACTTGTATAGCTATTAAATTTGAAATTTGAGATTTTTATTTTTAGTTTTATTTTCAACTAGGAATTTGCCATCATTACTGATCGAAAAAATATGCGTAGATCGAGGCGGCGGATAAGCAATTGAAAGCAACCCACAGATTCCTGGATGAACAGGCAAGCGAAAGGGAAGTGGAAAGGGATGAAGCTGCGAGGCAAATGCACCTTTTGCAAGAGCAGCTCAAAGAGCGTGAACGAGAAAAGGAACGAGACCAACGTATTACGTCTGAGGTAGGTTAAGAAAATTCTATACTACTTAGAAAAAGAAAACATCTAAATGAAATGATATCCAATTAAAATATCTGCTTTTTTGGAAACTTCCCTTGGTACTTTCCAATTAATACATTTTAATGAGGTTCAGGAATTTTTTTACTAATCATTTTTTCCCTTTTCTTGGATTGGGATTTTTTTAATAATTTTCACTGACCCTATACAGAAGCGATCATACTAATGGATAATAACTTATGGGAAATCTTATGAGATTCAAATTTATTTACTTTTTCTTTTTTCTTTACGGCCATTGTCAGCTATATTATGTTGCAATTAGGCAGCTTATAACACGCATAATCACTGATCTGTATTAACACGTGTTCTCTTGCACTCTGGTTTTGGTTTTCTGTTTGTCGCACAAAAAGCAGTCAACATTGTCACCCGAAGCAACGTCAGACATCCCGCTGCTTCAAGCATCTGACATCGGTGCAGCTGTGAGTGGATATTGTATTCATAAAAATTAATATAATTGATATTTCAGATTTGCAGGCTGTAGTAGGTATAAATTTTGCAATATTATGCATGTAATTTTTATTGATTTGGAAATTCGTTTTGTCGCTTAGACAAAATGGTACTATTTATATGCTTTACGTGTTGGTGATGCTTTTTAGCTTGTAATTATGGTTCTGGCAAAATAGATGAATTCTATATGTACGAATTTCCATTAAAAACGTTAAATGCAACCTAGGTGGAAGTTTTGGAGTCCCAGATGAGAGAGATGTCCTCTCTGATGTCTGACACAGAGGCTAAGAAAACTGAAACTGAGAGTGAACTGAAAGCAGCCATTGACAAGATTTGGGTACTCCGAGAAATCATTACTGACTTGGAACAGCAGCTACAGATCAAGACTGAGAAAGAAGAGTCCTTGCAAATGCAAATCAATCAGTTGGAAACTGTGATTGCTGCACAGACCAAGAACCAGCATGAACTGGTGCAAGAATTGGATGCTGTTAAGATGGGTAGCGAAAGCAAGCATCTGAATGATCATATTAATCATCTACAAGTAAGTTTCAATTGGGGAAATGAATTTATTGGAATATTTATTTTTAAAATATGATTTTGTAGGAGGAATTGAAGAAGTACAGGCTGAGTAGCGAACAATTTAACGTAAACTCTGCCGCATTGAAGCAGATGAAGGCAGAACTACGTGAGATGCAGAATAATTTGGATAAGAGAATCAAAGAGTTAGAATCTGTGCATATGTGCAGCTCCAATTTGAGTTTGAGCCAGCCAAGCGAAGATGTATCCATTAGAGATCAAATAGAAGCTTCTAGGTGCCCTACTCCAGATGATCCTAATGCTCCTCCAATGTTGCCCCTTGATCAACTATTAAAACTCAAGGAAAAAATGCAGAAACACGCCAGAGTGGAGGAAGTAGCTTTTAAGAGAATCAAAGACTTAGAAATGCAAGTGACTGTTTTAAAAAATCAAAACGAGGTAAGTTGTAAGATCGACTTTGAATTATGTACAATTTTACAGGGCTTTCCATTGATTTTATAGGAATTGCAAGCAGAGCAGGAGATCTTGCAGCAGACCGCTTCTGAGCAGTTGTTCCAAATAGAAGCGATGCGTGGCAGGTTGGAGCAGCACAAGCAAAGTGCTCCGTTCGCTCAGAGACAAGCTACGTCACGTTTGGAGCTACAGCTTCACGAAGCCAACACTAAATTTCAATCTTTGGAGCGAACTATAGCTGATAAGGACTTGGAAGTAAATATTAAGCTCTGTATTCATTTTATTTATATCATACTTTATACTATACTATTATGTTCATTTTCAGTTAAATGATATGAAGAATCAACTGGACAGAGTGAATCAATTATTACAAGAGAAAGAAGCAGAGATTGCAAATGTAGTACAAGTAGAAACTGCTACGATCCAGAAGCTGAAGGAACATCTAGAGATTGCTGAAGAGGAGAAAAGGTTTCTCCATGTATGTACATAGCTTGAATACATTATTTTTAACATTAATTTCATTAAATAAAATTATTTATTAGGCAAAGGTTGGTGTCCAAGAGCACGCTCAGTTGGAATTACCGAAATTGATAGACAGCATGCTAGCAGACAAAAACGAAGAGATAGACCATCTTAAAGAACAACTGTCCAAAAAAGAGAAGCAACTGGAAGTGTACTCTTCTTGGAATTTGGATGACACAGAACTAAGGGAGCTAGCAAGGCAGATAGAGGTGAAGAACAGCGCTCGTACATTAAGTGACATATTATCTATCCACTCGGAATGTGAAGAAACTACAGAAGCCATCAGGGGAGCGAATACAACTCAAAATTTGCCTAATGTATCTGCCTTTAAAGTTCCTACACCACCTGCTTCGTTCAAAAATGTGGATGACTCAGTTATGCCTTTGTTAGACACCACCAAAATGGCTCTGCAGGTTCCTCCCCTAGATCTGGGCTCTCAGAGCCTTTCTACAATTTCTAATCAGCAGTCTGGAATGATGGACTCTCTGCACAGTGGGCTGGAGTCGAAGACCACCTCTTCAGAGAACACTCTCTCCATGGACAAGACTGATCACGCTTCCCAGTCGAAACAGGAGAACATTCAAATGTTGCAATCACCAGAAAAAGAGCGTGCTGATGACAGAAACGAGACTGGCAGCAATAAGTCTCGTGTCACTTCGATGAAGTACACCCAGACTTCCATTAATGAGACTCTGAAGGAGATGGAGAACTTAGAGAACCAATTACAGGCTATGAGGGAAGAATTAGGGGTGAAAGCTGCCATTTTGAACAAGAGAGAAACTGATCTGATAGCCTTGCAAAAGCTCTATGACGAATTGCAAGCAGAATTCAAGGAGGTGGTGGAAACTCTCTCCAGAGACAAGTGCTTCTATAAGAACCAATATGAATTATCACGAGCATCAGAGAACAAGATAAAGAAAGATCTGCTGGAGGTGGAGAACGTTTTGAAGTTGAGGAACGAGGAGATAGAAGACCATAGAAACAAGATGCAAGTGAATGAGAAGATTATAATGGAGTTGAATTCAGAGAACACTAAACTGAAGAAAGATATAGAGGTGAAAGAGCAGGAACAGACAAAAAAGTACACTAACCTGCTTCAGGAGAAAATGAAGGAGTTGCAGAATTTCAGGGACGCTATTCTTGAGAAGGATATCACCATAGAAACCATTCAGACCCGAAATATTGAGATAGAAAATGAAAATAAACAATTGTACGAATTCAAGACCAAATATCAATTGTCCAAACAAGAATTATTAGAATGTCAGAACGAACTTCAGAGGTTGACAGAAGGTCTGAACAACAGAGACCAGATTATCAGACGACTGGAGGAGATGGCCAGACGTACAAGTTTCTCAGGAACATCCTCGCCGTCCAATGAAAAGGACCAAGAGATTCACCATTTGCAGGAGTATTTGAAGGAAAAGGACAAAGTAATACGGCAGATGAGCGATGACAGTAAAAGCTTGCATAAAGCTTTAGAGACTATTCAGAACAAAATGAAAGAATCTGGAAACGTGGTAGAACTAAGGAAAAAGCTGAAAGATGAGAAAAAATTGAACACTGAACTAAGGGTTATGGTGGAGAAGCTGGGTAAGGAGTTGTCTGACTTGAAGTTGCCTGCACAAAGATCACAAGATGACACTGATATCGAGGACATGGTGCAAAGGGAGCTCAATTTGTCAGCTCATTTAGATAGACAAATCATGAGTGCCATAGAAAGTGATACAGAGGACAAGATCAGAGTAGAGAGACAAGCTCCCTATCAGGATCACCAGGAAGGAAAAATCATGAAATTAAAACTGAGCCAAGCTAACAGGATCAACGAAGAGTTGAAGAAGTTAAAGGATGATCTGGAAATTGAAAGGGGAATGCTTAAGTGCCAGATTGCTGAATATGAAGCACGTATCTTCCAGCTTAAATCAGACTTATCAGAGGAATCCAAGAAAGTTGCTAAACTGGATGAGGAATTGTCCTCTGAGAAGAATCTAGTGAGAACATTGAAGATTCAGATAGAGAAGGTGCAAAGAGCAATGCGATCAAGACATATTCAAGATTCAGAACTGATTGAGTTTCTTCAGAGTAAATTAAAGACCTCTTTGGGCAATGAAGCGAAGTTTAGAAACGATCTGTCACTGTTACGACAGGAGCATAAGAGTTTGGAAATTCAGTTGAGCTTGATGAAAGAGCATGTACAGTCCCAGGAGACTGATGACACGCCAAAGCTGACAGATCTACTAGAAACTGAGAGGAAGAAGTACCTTTCCTTGATGGAGAATTTTGATAAAGAGGAGAGAGAAAATGCAGAGCTTAAGGACAGTGTGAAAAATTTGCAGATGGAGAAGAGTCGCTTTGAGAAGCAATTGGAAATGGAAGTGGAGGAGAAGGAGAAATTAATAAGCAGCTTGGCTCTGGTAGAGGGAATTAACGATTACGTACAAACTGATCTCCGACGTACCAAAGAAGAGTTGAAAGCAAGGGAGGAGGAGTGTGAATGGTTACAGAAGAGGATCGAGACTATGTCTGATACAGAGGCTAGGAGACAGGAACAGAGGACCAGTGAACATAATGAGCTCAAAGGATTGAGGAGAGAAATAAACAATGCTAGAGAAGTAATGGTCAGTATATATGTACATTAATCTTTAAGGGTTAGAATTTAATGTGATTTATTGTTCAACAGATGGATCTGGAGGCTGACATGAAGCAATCGAAGAGAGAACTAACAGAATCTCTTGAGCGTGAAATGAAGCTGGCTAAAACACTGGACACTAAAAACTGTCCTCTATCATGGACGAGGAGAAGAAATTAAGGGATACGATCACTGAGCTGCAGCAAGATCTGAAAACGTGCACCAGGAGGGAATTAGAGCTCACGAAAGAGTTAAAAAGTAGATTCACCAATGATAAGAACATACCTGCCAAGTTCATGCAGAAAATCAAAGTAATAAACCTGATAATAGATCATATGTATTTATAAATATATGTAAATTATGATTATTATTTCCTTCCATAGGATCTCAGTGATAGCAATGAAAAATATATGACAGAGAAAAGCATGCTTCAAGAAAAGTTGATAAAAGCTAGGGAAGAGAAAGAGCAACTGAATCAACGAATTAAATTGCTCGAAACTCATGCGAAGTCAAGCAAAGGGTCTCAAGATGGAAATACTATAACAGTAGAATTTATAGAGAAGGTAATTTATATATATCTAATATTTATCTTGTATTAAATCATACAATAATAATAATAATTGTCTTTCACAGTTGCAACATTTTTATGGACAGTTCTTGCGAGTAAAGAGCAGACGCAAGGCCTTAACTTATCAGAAACGCTACCTGCTGGGTGTAGTGGGGGGCTACCAGCTATCTGAAGAAAATACACTTTATATCCTCGCTCAGTTAACCAGATCAGAACGTGCCTATGTCGTGGATGATAGCAACAAGAAATCTCCAAAGTTACGCTTCAAGAGTGCCGTGTTAGTTCTTGTCAGTATACACAGAATGAAGTGGTTGATCCTGAGATGGAGTACTGGAAAGCGAATAGGAGTACAGACGCTATTGTGGAACGTGGATCAGTCCTTTAAACCTATTCAAAAGATCACCATGAACCATTCGCCTCCTGTTAGGGAAAAGCGTACCTCGAAGTGAGTACGCAAGTCGATGAATTATTTTAAGATTGATATTTTAATACTGTTAAATTGTATTTTCAGCGGAGACGGTCGATCTATCGACGGATTCTCGCTTGAACAGTATTACCAACGTCTGAAAAATATTCAGCAGACGTTGGGGTTGGCTATGGCGGAAGCCGGGAATCTTCAAATTATTCCAGAATAGTATTATGACCGCCTAAGTGTTGCAAACATCGTGTGCTATGATTTAATTGTTATGTCGCCGTTTATGAATGCGGCCATGAACAAGTGGCTCGCAGGGGATTGCTGTTTCGATTTGTAATTTCAAACGGAAACATTCAAAACTGGGCATTCTGATCGGAGATGTTGAGAGTTTATCTGTATTTTTTTACGAGTTGTAAATAGGACTGTAGCATAGGAACTACCAATTGTTAAACACGTGTTAAGTCCTTGCACTATAATTACTAGACGATAATGTACCATGTGTGCTATAATTTCAGTACTATTGTTACTTCTAAGAGTTTCCCGAGGAGAACGAACAAAAGAGCTCTATGTATAGGTTGTTTCAGAACTAGTTGTTAGGGAATAACGAGAACAATATTCTTTGTCGGATAATGTACATCATTGGTCAAAAAATGTTCGAATTGACCTGCAGTTTTGGAACACACTATACACAACTAATGCTCATGTATCCTGTTTTACCAAAGTTACTGATAGAAATATGTCTCTTGAGCGTACTATTGTCATAAGAATGCAGACCTGTGCCTTGTATATTGTAATAAGTATTTTAGTATTTATTTAGCGATGATCTGTACGTTTTTATATTGTGAATAAAATTATAGAATGACTTTTTACCAAAATTATCATAGGAGTTCATCATCAGTAATTATCATCGGTCGGTAATGCAGCAATTATATATTTCAACAAAAAAGGAAAATTATCTATAATTTAATTCAACATTGTTGCCTCGTATATCGTTCGGTAAATACTATTAATATTTGTATCGTGCAGTTTCCTTTCTCTTTAAATATGTGAGTTTAACAGCATTTCTGTAATCATTCGTTATACGAGGATTCTGGTCCATTGCAATGTAACGAGAACTAATTTTCTTGAACAGGGGAAATAATACTAATTACATAGGAGATTTTTATAGTTTCCTCAAACGTAACATTTCGCTCGATAGAAGTTATTTACATATGTACAATAAGACGTGTGATAAAATATATAGTGATCTAGCTTTATATATCTTATATATGTATCTAAAGCTACATTCGATTTTGTGAAACGTAACCTAAGAATATAAGGCTTTCTTTTTGTTATTCGTTTCGAAAACGTAGTATCTAAACAGTGCAAATTTTACTATCAATATTTTTTGTTTTTTAATATATATGTATCTATATATTTTTTTTAGATTCCATTAATAAAGTATCGTTCTCTTATCGACAATAATAAATTTATAGTACTTTCTTTGTAAAATAGTAGGACTTACTACTTGTTTCGTTCGAGCTCGTAAAGATTCGAATTTGCACTGCATTTGTGTGACTCACTTCCAGTTCGGAAGAACTTGAAAAACATTTCGTTTTCGACTGATTCGTGATTGTTGTTCACAAGAAAAAAAAAGTTTGAACAAATTACCGTAAAACGGAGCGAGCAGAATTCGAATTTAACACGCGAACTATCCGCGCTTGTAATTGGTGCACGCATCCTTGAAATTGGTCGCGTTAAATGGGCCGAAATAATCATCGTGAAGTTGCCTGATGATCGTTTCAATCGGGCACAATTTTGAATCTCTGCGCGTTTTTTCCGCTTCGTTGCGTTCTATGTAACTGACGCTGTAAAAATTCGCGTTCCTGCAGAACGGAATCTTCTGTGTGAAATCTTTCCCGTTAATGACCACACGGAAGTAAAAATCGCTGGCTACGTGATTCTCGTTTTTTGGATTTATTCGATAGACCTCAATCACGAACCGGGAAGCATAATGTGGCATGGTCAATTTGTCTGAGAAAATCCCGAGGGCGGTTGCAAGATATTCTAAAGTTTTATCATGGCCAGAATATAAAACAATCTTCGGCTTGGCCTCGGAAATGATGCGTAGCACGTAGAAAACTATGCTTCGAAGAAGTCCATAGGCTCTCAGTAGCCCGTACTTTTTGCGACTGCTGCTTTTTGCCACTTGTTTAGATTCCCATTCTGTATAGGCAAATAAACCCGTTACGTGTTCCGTTTTCACGCACACTCTTTGGGTGTCGAAGTCTACACAGGGCAAAGAAGCACCGTGACAGATGTAGGTTAACAATGCATCCTTTAAACTATTGGGATCTGACATTTGAGCCTGGTCAGGGATTTCAAAGACTGCACTGGAAGCCTGTCGTATTAGGTCTGCTACAGCTGGGTGGGATTTCAAATGATCTGACATTTCCTGTAATAGGAAGACTTTTTGTTAAATTTCACCAAATATCTTAATACGAATATTATGCAGTTACCTTCATGTGTTGCTTGAAAAATTTCTCAGCGGCTGGACATGCACAGTCTGTGTTACAAAAGGCATAACTTTGACTTTCTTGCATAGTGATTTTAGCAAGATTCTGAATACCATCTGTCTCTAGGAGGGAATATAGCAATGCAACTGCACTTTGAACTGTTCTGCGATACCTTGTGCTATATACAACAATGTCTTTATTAGATATGGTGCCATTCCCAAGGTTCAGCTTATGGTAATAAGCATTTCTAAGTATGACTCCAGTTTTCAGCAGCTGTCCAATGCCAAGTGTGGTCAGCTGACCAATTCTGCAGTCTTTAGAATTGCTGGGCAGCATAGGAAAACCATGGAACGGTCCCAGGAATTGTGCCCATGCGGTTCTAGAATAGCTAGAGACATTTTGCAAGAAGTTCACGTAGTTCTGGTACAAGTTTTCTAATTCAGGTACAGAACTAAAGTCTCCACCACAGTTTACAATGCTTATGTTTCGAATGTGAGCCAGTGGACCTCTGTCTCCATGTCGTATAAATACCAAAATACCTCCAAGTGTCAAATTTCCATCCAGTTTTCCTGAAAATACAAAAATAATATAATTAACGATTATTTAATAATATTATAAATTTACAATCTCTAATACCTTCACTTTCTGCTGTGATTTCACTTGGAGGATTACAAAATCGAAATATCTTTTTCGTTTTCACGTCTGCCTTCAGATTTCTGGGAAATTCCCTGATGGACATATCATTCCCTAGAACCCTAGCTTGTACAGAGCCCTTCTCGTCCACGCCGATATATTTGTACATACCTATTCATAATTTCAGTATACATACACATGACGTTCGATCCGTCTATTATATATGTAAAAAAGAAAAAAAAAACAACGAGGAGGAAAAATGGAGGAGGAGATCAAACGGCAAAGCAAGGGTTCTTTAGCCGTGTTTACGTACACGGGTTACACCAGCAGGCCAACGAAGCCGATAACGTGAAATTGCGTATGCGCCAGTTAATCGCATTGTCGCGTGTGTTTACCTTCGAGCGCTTACGCTACGATAAAAGAGCGCTCTGATATCTACAGGAAACATCAAAGCGTGTGTTCTAACCGAGGCATGATGTTGTTGAACAGAATATAGCATGGAGAGTAAAAATAAAAATAGAATGTTTAATTGAAACCTGTTACCGAGTACCACAAATTGAAGCGAACAGAGGCAGTAAAAATAACAATACAATTTTTCTATGTACGTATAAAATGTATAAAAATGAAATTATTAAAATCCTTTGGACAAACGTTACAAGTTAAAATATCAACTTTTTCAGGAATTCAATATATGTGTTGAGCATATGGAGGGAGCATGCTTCGGTCTCCGTAATTACCAGCAACGAGGAGGAAGATCCACACACTGAGGATCACGTAGCAGTAGAACGCTCGGTGCTGGTAGGAGAGACGGACCATTTCCGCCAGCATCCTGCGACTAATCCTGGTCCTAGCCAGGTTCTTTTCGTTTCTCTGTCACGGTCTCGACGACGAGGACGTCGTTGACGGTAACACGGGGTCAAACAACCAGAATGAATCCGGTTCAACGACACTTTCCAAAGCTGCATCCTCCCTCTTCAACAACTCTGCCGCATAATCCTTCTCTGATCGCCTGTGAAGAGTCAAGAGGTGCCAGGATCCCGTGGATGACGTCGTGATACGAGTTTCTTATCTCTCTTCTCGATACCGGCTCGAACCAGAGTACCTTGATGGGCGCAGGCGCTTGGATATCCTCTGACATCTCTTTCAGCTAATTATATCTCACCGTTGATCACTCCTTTTATTTACTTTCCTGGTTTATAATGCGAAGATATCGAAGACATTGACAACTTTCATGAGAACTATATTCTTCCTTATTGAGTTAGGTTAGTGGAAAGTGGATATATTATTTATAGCCGTCGTTGAATTTATTTATGAATATTGTATTATGCGTTATTTTCTAGATTTTCGATTCTACGGTCGATAAGAAGCTCCTGAGAGGTGTGGAAAGTGTATCAAGCTCCTCCGTGCTTGCATTCCCTCATGATAGGTTAGTATCGAGCGCAGGCGCCCCGAAAATCCTTCTTACACTCTGATTCTCGACTTTCAGGCTCGTTGTCTCCGGCTTGTGGACGATTCGATTCCCGAAAGGGGAGGTTTACGCGTTCAATGAACTCCTTTAGAACTCTCCCTTGCACCAAAAATAATCGAAGAATATTTTCCTGCTGTTAAAAATCATCTATTCTTCTTTAATTACTACCGTCAAACTTTCGTATTGTGAAATTTATATTTTTGCAACGGTTATAACAGTTTAACGCGACATATGACAGATGTATGCTCGCGGTAATGGTAACAAGTGACATTTCATGAATGTTACCGTCACTTTTTACACTTCTGTCGTTGTGTGTTGGAGATTGAAACTCGAATGGATCACTCGCGACGAAAACTGAGGGAAAGAACGGGCTTAGTGGAACATTTTTCCGCGACTACGACAGGTGAGCCGCGCTCCTCGCGACTGGAGTAGGTTATCGAAGCGCGCACGCGTGCAAGGTGGCCACCCCGATTGGCCTGGCCTCCGTTTCAAATCCATTTCGATCCGCGGTCGGGAGAGAGCTGCGAATAAGTTAATTCCTGACGCTGGAAGTGCGCGACGTTCAACGGTTCGCTGATCTGAGCTTGCAAGAAAAAAATATGAGACCATCGCTGGAGGAGGAACTACTGGCCAGGAACATCGAACGAAACGAATGTTTTCTTTTTTGCAGCCCATATATGTATTTTACAATTTCTGCTTCACTTCGCCGTTCCCAGTTTTTATTCGCAATACTTTATGGAAAATGATGAACGACTGTTATCAGCTTTCAACCCCTTGATTTTTTTCTTCGAGGGGCATTTAAAAGGATTTTTCGTGAATTTAGGAACTGAATTGGAAGTGTAGGTGAATCAGACTTGGAAATAATTCCAATGTTTAGGAAGTGAACGAAAAATGTTTGGAAAAGTGTACAGGAGTGTAATAGTGCTTTTTGAAAATCATTCAAGTATTTTACACGTCGAAAGCAGAGAAAATAGAAGACGAGTGTTGAAATATGTATAAATATTCCACATCATTTTATATTTGGGCAGACACACACACATACACACACACACTATGGTAAATCATGGTGTCAGCTATGGGGAAACAGAGTGGAGGTGAACACTGAAATTCCATTAATTATTTTTAAAAACTTTTTATGCCAATATATGTGTAATATTTTAAATTCTCTAAAATAGAGTAAACGCGTTGCGGTAGAAATATTATTTTGGCAAGAGCCAAGAGTGAGCAATTATTTTAAGATTGATCACTCAGCGTTTGCACAGCATTCGTCAGGTAGATGTTTGTCAAACGCAGGTCTACCGTTAAAGGGGTGAATGTAGGTGAGTTAGGGACGCAGGCGCCGCCGTATCTATTTCCGATTTCGTCTTTCGCCTATCCTGGACGTGTTCCACTGATGCTTTCAAATTATTTTAATGAATTGCTGTTGCATGCACCTCTAAACATCTTACAGATGATCTGATAAAGACTTTTTCTTCCATTAAACAAGTTTACTCCTCTTTTAAAATTGATCCCCGAAGAGAAAGAAGAAAATTGATACAACTGTGCAAGTAGAGAAGAAGAAGAAGAAGAAGATGATGAAGAAGACAATTTACTCTATATTTAATATCTTGTAGGAAATTTATTTCTCCGACAGAGAAATAAATGTTACACGAGTTAAGAGGATCACAGTAGATAGAATAATTTTAGAAGAATTTGTAAGACCTATGGACGAAGGAAACGGACAATAAGGCGTTCCTAGATCCGTTGATCCCATCGTGGAATAGCTTAGATGCCTCTGGAAGACACGTAGATCCGCTTCCTCGTGGTTTCTGGCTACCTACAGAAGGAGGGGAACGTCTAGGCGGGGGCGTTGAATTGGCAATCAGTCGGCAGACGACGTAGACGGGCTACGCGGGTAACTCGAGCTAACTGGCCTGATATGAGAGCTCGAGACTAACAGTCAACTACGGACAATCTAGCTATCAGCCTTAAACGGAATATATTTACGCTATTCTGCCCCCTCTAGCCTGTGCGTGGAGGAGTGTACACGTGCTCTTCAGCATCCGTCCCCCACCTACAATGCTACGGAGAAGAATTTTTGGCAATTGAATGGATAGAATCTGAGCTACTTGTCTCATGATTCCTTTGTTACTTACATATTCTGTCACATGGTGTCTAAGGTGCACCAGGTACATAGGTGTTCCCAAGTCTTGTAAATGAAAGTACAGTCTGCTTTTGACATCTAGTCTAGACTACAAATAGAGGGGAATGAACCCTTCGCAAGGACATGCGTGTGTCGATATCTACGATAGGAAAACTGGCAAAGTTTCACTTTTCATTGTTCACAGAACTTTCAAACTTCCAATGGCGGATTGCTCAAGCGATATTGCAAAACCAATACAAAAGCTCCTGTGGATTTAAAAGCAAGGACAGGGAAATCCTGGTTGAACAAAGAGTCCCTAGATCATCTGGTCTACATTTCCAAGGTCGACGAACTGGAATAATTATATCAAGCAGCGGCCTCTTGAATCAGAATGGAAGTTATTTATATTAGAGATACGAGCAGTGATGCAACGGTGTCGAAAATAATGGTCCAACATGATCAAAGATGCAAGGCCGCCTCGCTAACAGGGTGATCCTTGACCAGCAACGTTGTACAAATCAAATAAACCCTCGTACACACGTTCGCCATAAGTAGAGCGCTATTAAATACAATTAAATGCAGTCGCGCAATCGCCGATCTCTTCTCGCGTCGGCACGGTGGCAATGATTTTGCCAAGGCTGCAAGATCAACCGCAATGATCGCGATCATCGCGACAGATAGCTCCGAATAAACGCCGCATTGTAATAAGAATCGATTTTTGACAATAAAACGAGTAGACAGCTCGTGCACAATTACTGTATCACCATTGATATCAATTTTATACTTTCTAAAGAGTCCAAGTTCATTTCTGATAGGATTGTACAGGCTAAACGGATAAAAATGATCACTTTCGGTGTATCTGGGTCTGTGCAACCGTGAAAAAGATTCTTTTGAAAGAAAAATTGAAGTAGTCTGTGAGATATCAGGATGATAATAGCAGCACTTGGGATGTTCCAGGGAAAATCGGATTGTGCTTCAAGGAATGCCTTTGAAAATCATCTTCATACTTTGTGTTACATGTTAGATTAGGTTAAGTTAGGTGTTCTTCTGTTCATTTTCACCTTTGCAAGATTATTGGAAAGTAGGTGAAACCGTCAGGAATTCGTGTAATTCCAAAAGCACGAGGAAAATTTCGTTTGGAGAAACTTCAACTGATACCAGTGTTTCCAATTGATTTCAGGGAAATCACAGAGCTCCGCAAGCTTCTTAATTTCAAAGAAACTCCGGGATTCCTACGTCAGAAGCTCGGCGTGTTTATAATAATCATCCAGATTGCTATCAGCGGACGAGCACTTCTGCGAGAATTAATGGAACTAAAAGGGCAAATTGCCTGTGAAGATTCAGTAATAGGTAGAATGAGGCCAAATTTGGAATTTTCTGGCCAGACTTATTGGTAGCATCCACTTCGAAGTCTCTGCTTCAACACGTTGCAACTTCAGAATTGAAGAATAATTATTTAAAGAATTAATTCGTGGTTTTTTTCAGGTCAGGTGTACAGGAAAGAACGGTCGATTATCGATCTCCCTTCTCGTCTGCCCATCCTGAAGGAATTCTCTCGCCGCTGAAAGGGTCTCCGTAATAAGGAGCATGACAGAGCCACTCCCATGACCATTCTTCAACTTCGTGAAAATCATAGACGACTTTTCACGAGATCACTGGACCGAATCTCCTTTCCGAGAACTCGTCCAGGTACCTGGCCAGGTAGAGGACGTCAATTCGACACCTGCCAACCCTCTGAATCCTCCCTGCACCCGTCCATCATCTGTTTTCTCCGAAAACACATTGCAACTGGTGTCTAGAATGATCTTTCGACGCTTTAGGTGCAACAATGCGACCTGTTCCACAGACTCTGAGGAGTGTTACAATTGAATATGGATAATGGCGGTCAGTTTCGTTGCTTTTCCACCATGATTGTTCTCCATAGAGACACATGTGTACGTTTAGTTTTCCTTTTGAAAATTCCAATACCTCTTGACAGAAAACATATGAAAATATAGCGAATAACTATCTCATAAAAAAAGCAGTTGAATTGCTGTCTATTTAAAATAAATAGAAGATTAGGTAATTTCTTCTAACTTAAAAGAAATCCTCCGTGAAGAAGTTAACAAATTCAACCTTGGTATCTTGTTGATTTAAAAATTGCAAGAGTGTCCTGTAAAGTGTATCGTGCGAAGGGGTTAGGTTATTCCTCGAATTTTACCGATGAAATGAACCGAAGTGAGCGTGAGCGTTAACGAGGCTCGTCTAGAGTCGCAGTTTGTCGCACGCGACATGCGACTCAGTTCGTAATTTCTCCGTGCTAACAGACGCGTTACGTAAATTGGAACGTATGGGCTTCTGTTCTCCTCATGGCGAAGGAAAGGTCACGGATAGGCTTCCCCGATCATTCGTCGCCCCGTGGCGTGCAATGTAAACTGCAGAGAGATCAATTTCCTTGCTCTGTTATCGCTATGAACCCTTGGCACGGCTCGCGTGGCCGCTGCACCGTTAATGTCTGCTTAAAACAGTGATTTATCGCGCTTTCAGTCATGTTCTCTTCGAGTTCGCTTCGTTCAGATTCGGTTAGATAATCTATCGCCAGTTACAGTGATATTCATGGTCCAGTTGTGTATCGTGCGAAGGGGTTAGGTTATTCCTCGAATTTTACCGATGAAATGAACCGAAGTGAGCGTGAGCGTTAACGAGGCTCGTCTAGAGTCGCAGTTTGTCGCACGCGACATGCGACTCAGTTCGTAATTTCTCCGTGCTAACAGACGCGTTACGTAAATTGGAACGTATGGGCTTCTGTTCTCCTCATGGCGAAGGAAAGGTCACGGATAGGCTTCCCCGATCATTCGTCGCCCCGTGGCGTGCAATGTAAACTGCAGAGAGATCAATTTCCTTGCTCTGTTATCGCTATGAACCCTTGGCACGGCTCGCGTGGCCGCTGCACCGTTAATGTCTGCTTAAAACAGTGATTTATCGCGCTTTCAGTCATGTTCTCTTCGAGTTCGCTTCGTTCAGATTCGGTTAGATAATCTATCGCCAGTTACAGTGATATTCATGGCAATATCGTGTCACGGAGACTGTGAAAAATTTCAAATTATGTACCGCGAAGGGAGAAGGAGACTGGGAAAATACTTCAGAGTAGACTCTTTGATCGCTGTGTTAAGGAATAGGGGGGTTACTAATGCATATAAAATATTTAAATGGAACTTTAGCTATCCTGGATTGAAGAAATCGAGGCCAGTGATGTTGGAAATATTCCAAGATGCAACATTACACCCTCGGATTGGGGAACGGAGGACTGTAACGATTTCAAAGTGCAACTTTGCGCACCGCGGATTGAAACAAGTAGGAGCTAGTATAAATCGCCGAAAACAATGTTCCAGAATTGTAACTTTGTGCCTTCTAAATTGAAGAACATTCATTTTCAGTATACTGAAAAATATTCGAAAATGCGGCTCCGTCAAGATTGAATGAAAGAAATCGCATTCTCTGGCAGAAACTGCCAGAAGGCATAATCACGGGTCATCGGAGGATTTTCTAGATGGAAAACGGAAGAGATAAGTGGCTCCTTATCGTTCAAGGCGAACCAATTGCGGAACAACTGTGTCAATGACGTCAGCGGAAATATTGTGCAGAACCGATACATTTGATAAACGAAAGCAGAATTCAATCTCTCGTAAGAAGTGGTTATCTGGCCAGCCTGCGTGAACGTGGAACGTGTTCACTTTTTGTTTCCTAGAAAACGTGACTTATCGCTGACACGATTTTCCCTAATCGTTCCTCACTTTTACGCCTCGAAATTTCACTGCAGAGCATCCGTCAGATAATTCGCTCCAAAATATGTATTGGCATAATTTCGATACGATAACGATGATTATGGTTACGGTTTAGGAAAACACACGATGTCTTCTTCCGTATACTTTATACTACAACAATTATGTTGATACTTCAACTAATTTTTCGACTAATTACTATTTAGACATTATTCACTTTGCCCGACACAACCATAATCTGACATTGTTATGTCTGACCACTGTAATGTAACATAATTGTTATTGTACAAAGTAATATGATAATAACGTCAGATTATAGTAGTCAGATATAATAATATGGTTATGTCAGACTAAGCGAATGATATGTTAAAAATGATCACTCGAATATTGTCAGAATAAATGGTTGTTGAGTTAGGTAATGACGTGGATAATATGGCGAACAGTTTAGGCTACCGTTTGAAGATAAATCGGAGTAGAGGCAGCGATCGCAATTGCATCTATGGAAAGTTTGTCGACGGTGTTGTGTAAATGCGTGTAAGCTGGGAAGGAAGTATCAAACTAGATAAGCGCAGCAACGTTCATTACTTCCGTCTAGCGTGGATGCTGCGCGTTATATTCGTCCGTCCGCTGCAAGATTCGTGAATTGGTGCCTTTCTAACGCGTCCACGCGACCATTCCCATGAATAGACGCGCGGGTTCCTTGGCAGAACCGCATCTTCTACATTGCTCACTTCCTTTCTCGCGTCTGTGAAACGTTACCGGGCCAAAACTCACGTTTGCACCCAGCGTCATTTCGAAAGTGAACACGAAGAAAATCGTATTGTTTCGTTTTCAACAGTTCAAAACGCGAACAACTTCTTCTTTTGAAAAGTATCAACTACTCTTCTTCAATTGAGGACAACTTTTAATTATAGTATGTTAAATAATTTGGTGCACTTAAGGGGGTATTCTGGTTTTGAACTTTCAAAAAATCTATTCTTCTTTTTTCTGCATTTTCTTAATGTACATCTATTCTAGAACCTGTGTGCAAAAGGATTTGTTAGAATTTGTAAAATTAATTTATATGTAAGCGTTCGAAGGATGCAGTCGTACCGTAACGAAATGGATAGGTGAATTTTTAAACGCGTTTTTCTCGAAAGCTCATTTTTCGAAACGGTTTACACGATATCTCGAGTTCTAGTTTATCAATTGACAAAAGAAAATTTTTAACATCCGTCGTTTTTTTCTTATTCATTTAACACGCTAACGACGGCAAAATATGAGAACAATCGATAATCTAAATTCAAAATGCTGTCATTTTGTAAATAACCGATATTTTTATTTTATTTCGGTTCAGACCATAGCCAGATTTATACCGATTAAGATTCTTCCCCATTTTTTTATTATTTCAGATCAGCGGAACAAACTATAACTCGTGTAATATTGATTGTTTCTACTTCAATAAAATATATTACGTATTTGAAAGACCCACAAATGTATGTGCAAAACCGTGATGCAAAAAGTTCAACGATTCTTTTGAAAAAAAATCCTAAAAATTGCTTCAAAGATGGCATTCGAAACCAGAGTACCCCGTTAAGTACACCAATTGATACATAATTTCTCTGTGTATCAATTTCCATAAGTGAACAAGAGAGAAGAAAATATGGTCGCATCTTTCACGTAGCGCAAGGGGAGGAAGGAATTCCGACGCTGGCCTCTGCCCGGGAAGAGGAGCACAAAGGCAAAAGAAAGAAGAAATTCGCGGCGGAGGAAAGCAAGGAAACGGAGTGTAAAAGGACGAGGAGGGAGCGAGGAGTGCCGAGTGTTATCGAGACCGAACGAAAGCCGCCGATCGGCTCACGCTAGCAGTAGTAGCGGGAGCCTCGAAGCAGTCTCTGATCAGTTCAAATCCAGCGTTTCGCGACGATACTCGCGAACCAGAGAGCGGCTGTGTTAAACAAAATTTCTTCTCTCATCGAAGTGCTTCGTTCCCTGTTCGTTCGCGTCGTCGACGATGACACGCCGGTGCGTTAAAACGTGCAGGTGAAACCAGTATCTTTCCCTGCTAGAGGGAACGTCCTAGCATCAGCGCCACTTCCGGTCTTCTTCATTCACAAGTTTGACACAGTGATCTTCCGAAACGATTCACGTGGAACGATTCTTTTCTGCTCTTTGGTGAATTGGCTGCTGATCGACGCGGAGCAAGGTTTGGGCTCCCTTTTTTTTCTTTTTTTTTTTACATTGTAATATTGGGGAACGAATGGTTGGAAATATTTGAAAACACAGGAATTTAAACGGCACTTTCGTTTCTCAGGGTGCAGATCGTTTTACAAATTGAATGTAATATTCGACGTGACATATAGACGGTAGAAATTGCTATAGATGAGGATACTGCAACAGTTGCATGTGCCTCTGTGTCGAGGTATATATACCTCGGAGCCCCCTATCGGGGATTATTACATTACACCACACACTACCACGTATAATATCACAGGAACTCAATTGGACTCTCTAAAAATCCAAATAGAACGGGATTAAGTGACATAGGTTGAGAGTGAGCGAAAATGTTCACCGATTAATATAATTATAACCGAGGGTTAGAGTCGCTTCCGTTCACCGAGTTATTTGCTTGGAATGGTTTATTAACTTTCGATCTGCCGTTAGATCGCTTATCAAGTCGGGGAACGTTGCGTGCTCGTGCGCGGTTTCAGTTTCAGTTCTCGTTAGAGAGAATGCAGGCCTCTACCATTTAAAAACAAACCACCGGCGGACTCGTTCCTCATTCTCTAGCCGATAATTTAACAGGCTCGACGGTATCGAATGTAAACAGGAAGCTTCCTTATTGCCGCGCGACAATCTTGCGGCGAATTTCTCTTACATATGTAGTTGCCTGCCGTTGCATAACGCTGACACATCTTGAATCTCGTGGAACCCGAAATCTTACCGAAAACTGTTCTTTCAATACGGGGCACAGTTCGTTGTGAAATCATTTTAGGAACTTTCTAGAGCTTTTAGAATTTCTTACAACGTTACAGAGCTCTTCTAAACATGTTTCGGCGGGTCTCAAGGCACCCCCGGAATGTTCCGAAGCTTCTCACAATTTCTCGTAGCGATCCAAAGCTTTTCAGAAATTTTTCTAACACTTGGAAATATTCGCAGAAATTTTTAGAGCTTTCCAGATATTTTCACAGTGACTTGACGCTTCGCAAATTTTTCTTGTACCACTCGAGAGCTTCCTTGGACTGTTCCAGAGCTTTTCAGAATTTGTTGCGATTACGACAAAAAGATAGAATTCGATAAAGATAGAATTAAAATTTTTATCACAGCATTCCAAACTTTTCCAGAATTTTCTTCCAAGATCATCCACGGTGCTCTAGAACTTTTCAAAAGTTTCCGGAGATCTACACGATAGGATCCTCTGAAAAGCGTCGAAAACTCTCCAGGTCCACCAATCTCCTCCCCCCTTTTTCCGCCAAGGGATCGTGTCTCCTGGTCGAAGTATCATCAAGTTGCCATTACTTTTAATGCACTCGATTGTTCTTGTTATACGTCGAAGGTATGCTGTGGATGTTGAATGTGCGTCGCGGCGACGAGTCAATCAAGCGCTGTTGACCTCGGTACAGAGGGGAACTCGCGTGTTACCGACGTTTTATCCACGAATCACTCGCCGAGGGGGCCTCTATTTTTATATCGTTTTTAGCCTGTGTCGTTGTTCGAGTCTGCACTTTTAATTTCCACCATTAAAAACCATCTATCTATCTATCCCTTTAACCATGTGCATCTACACTGGATGTAGTACATCTTTTTTCAACGCCATTTTTTATTCACACTTTGGATATGTATATATGTATACACTTAGAAAGTGAGGTTATGGAGGATATTTTCTTTACGCGAGAAAATATGTTGCAAAATTGTCACTTCCGTTGTGTAGAGGTTATGTGTACAATTTTACAGGTTAGGTTAGATATCTCTCCGCGATTCCGTTTATATTCGTGGTTATCGAATTGGAAGCGTATGATCGGCGTTTTGCTTTTCCCTCGAGGAAAGTGCATTATGTCGGAACAGCTTAATGGCGCGCAATGAAGTATGAACAGTTTCATTTTTACCACCGTCAGCTTGGATTCGACATTTTTAGGTGATGTAGTTTTAGCTGGAAATATCGAGTAAGCGAATTGTTTGTTAGTTTTATTACACGCGTAGACACGAGAAAATACGAATTCCGGTCGTTTCAAGTGTTAGGCATTGTTTTAACAATTTCAATTTTTAAATTAATATTGGCCGAAAATATAATCGATAAATTTCCCACGATTTTGCAAACGAATTAATTATAGTAGACGAAATTATGGTGAAAGTAGTCCAGCGAATATTTCGCTTGAGAAAATATTATAGTCTGTGCTCTAAGTATAGAGGATTTTCGTTCTTTTTGTTTCTACGAATTTTTTTTCCAGTTTTCTTTGAGGAGCATTGAAGGCTTTTCACAACATAAGTCGATTTCACAGTAACGCACCAATAATGATGGCTTTATCTCGGTAGGTTAGGGCCGATATAAAAGCCCTGGTACAGGTGAGCGCGGTTAATGGCGCATAAATTACATTCGATCACATAAATCATCGGGGAATGACCAAAATTGGTAGAAAGTCTCGAGGCACGGTTATTGTTCGAATATTGATATTGGAAATCACGTCAAACTTTAGCAATGGCTACTCGAGTTACTCGAACTTTCAAAGAAACTCCACTGTTCCTCCTTTCATTGCAGATAAACGGCCATTTTGTTCTATAATTCGAAAAAACATCGAATATCCATCGCCGTACGTATTTTTACTATCGTTTGAGAATTTTTAATCGGTGAAATTCTGCTTTTTAAAATTTCTCAGGCGATCTATAGCCTGTGCGAAATCAGCGAGTTCTTCAAGGTCACCAAGGAGCCTCCCCCCACCACTTCACTGACAAGGGAACTTCGGTAACCCGAAAATTCCGATTTTTCGAAACTTTATTTAATAGCATTGTCTTATCAGACATAAAATGCCACTAAATTTTTATTATAAACATTTTTTCATATCTACTCTAGTTTTAAAGATATGCAGGAAAGTAGAGTAACACTTATCTTCATTCAAGGGTTGTTTTCGCCTCGAAGAATCGGAAAAGGGCGAAAAAAAGAAATTGCCCGATACTTCTCTCGAGGTCCCCTACAAACGGTTACCGAAGTTCCTTTGTAAGCTCTAACCTCCTCTAAATTCATAGTATACTTGATTCTCTATCGCACTGCATACATGTCTTGCGATAAAAGTTTCTGCCATTCCAAAAAAATTATGCTATAAAAATTTGTAAATAAGAAAAAAAAAGAAGAAGAGAAATAGTAAGATAAATTTGCCACCATGTTTTGATTATGGCCGAGGGAAAAAGGAGATTTTTGCGACGCGAGGAGAAGGGAAAAAAGGACGAAAGGAAGAAAGGAACGGCCGGCCACTCTATTGTCGCGAAAAACGAGCGCTGCGTTTCCCCTCGGTTTGCTTTCAAACCGGAAGAGATATAAGAGAGTTTAATTTATCGACTGTGGGGAATCGGGCGTCCGCGATGCTGTCTCCGTACGACGATCAGGAGAAAGAGAGAGGAGCACACCTGTCCGTTCGTTTCTCTAATTTAAATACGATGCCCATTGACTCTCTTGTGTAACAAACATAGTGACACGTAACACCTGATTACACCTGTACCACGTGATCATGTTTTTAGGACCGATTGTGTCAACCTAGAAGCTTCTTCGTGTTACCAGTGACTAAAGTATATTACAAGTGTAAAAATTGTAATTTTTTATTAGCGGCAGTTGCAAAAATGATAAATATATGAAAATTTTATTCTAGATCTGCGATTTGTCACAGATGTGAAAATAAATGTACGAAAGAAAAATTTCATTGAAAAAATTAGCGAAAGAAGATGTGTAACAATTAACACCGATACAAGTGCGAACATTTTCCATGGAAATTATATCGTTGGGTTGCAGTTAGTGTACAGGAAGTCACTTGGTACCGATCTAGGCACATGCGCCAACTACATTTTCCAGACACTATCCGCTATCTAAACGAATTAATCACGGCGTGAGCGCCATGCGAACCGTGAAATCGATTATACTCGCACAATCGATACTTCCTTTGCACCCTTTCACGGTGTAGCTCAGGTTGCTGGATGGTTACAAACAGAGATTAATCAAACATGCCCGCCCATGCTTCTGGTTTTAACCTAAACCGTGTAGTGTATCGTTTCATCGTTGCATAAACTAGTCGACAACAAAGGATCGGCACCGATGAGCAACCGATTACGACAGTTTTTCACGTGCCTGGTGCTACGTCGTCCGGTGGGGATCTTAGTCTTGCGTGGAAATCGTCGGGAAATCTAACTTCACATCGACCCACGTCATACATGCTGTTAATAAAATCACTAAATTGTACCAAAAATCTTCTCTTCATATTGTAGGATATAGAGTTCTCAAAATTTTTCCTAGTTACTTCAATTCTTTCTTTTTTATGTTTACAATTTTTAGGCTCTTTTATTTCCATTTTTCTAAGTTTTCTATCGATATATGGAGGTCATCTGAGCTTTCCAGAAATCTTTCAGAGATCGGCAAAAATTTCTAAGCGCTTCTAGAAGTTTCCAGAATATTTCGGAGATATTCCGAGTATTCCAGAATTTTTTTAAAAATTGGCAAAACTTTTCGAAGGCTTCCAGATGCTTCCAGAATATTTTAAAGATATTTCGAGGTCTCCAGAATTTTTTTGGAGGTGAATAGATACTTTCGAGTGCTTCTGAAGATTTTCAGTGCTCTCCATAAGTTTCCAGAAAATTTCCGAAACTCCCACGAATCTATACAGTCCTCCAGAACGTCTAGAGCATGTATATATGTATATTAATTCATCGATCAATTCTTACTTAATTTTGTTTAATGAAATATGCTAATCTCCCTTTTCGTCCTCTTTCAATATTTCCTTTATCAGAAGATAGTTGAAGAAGGAAAATATCGAATCCAGCTGATTAACCGGTCTGACGAACTGAAATCGATCGAATGAATTTGCACGCACTCGTTCAGTTTGCATAATCGGGTTATGAGAGTGTAATAGTTGATTAACCCGGATATCCGGTTATAATTCGCCACTGGAATCAAGTGGTCAGGTGAGAAAGCCCGATTTTAAGGAAGGATCGATGAATTTCAACGCG